CACACACACACACACACACACACACCTAAACCTATCGTATACCTCTCAAGTCATCGTAACAATTGTTACTGGTGGTGGTATTGTCAAACATATTCTCGGGTGTGTGAGTGGTTGCTGCTCTGTCAATTGTCGTGTCGACATCATCAAACATCACTCCTAGGTCATCATCATCATCATTATTACCATCTCCACAACGAACCTCTTTCCAAGTACTAGTGTGTGTGTGCAGTCATCATTTTCTAGGAATTTCTTACCATTGTACCAACAAGAACAACAAGAAGAACAATCCGAGTATGGCTTCTACTCATGGTCAACCAACAACAACAAGAACCACAAGAACACTCTCCTCCAAGAATATGACCTTCTTAGTGAGAAGTAATAGTAGTCGTCGTAGTTGTCGTAGTCGTCGTGGGATTCTTTCACTCTTGCTACTTCTCCTCGTTGTCATTGTCGTTTATATAAAAATGTCCTCAAGTCTTCGTGGTGATTCAGATCATTGTGTTCATTCATCATCATCTCACTACTTTACATTGGTGAATGCTGCTTCAACAACAAGAAGAACAACAACCCTTACTCGTCGTCATGATCACTCCAACTCGTCATCACAACGACAACGACCAAGAGAACACGTGACACATTCCACGAAGAGTCAATCATCAGCAGCCGTGGTGGCACTGACCTTTTCCAAACCTTCAACAACAACCTCATCAACCACAACCTCATCAACAACAACCTCATCAACAACAACCTCATCAACAACAACAACTTCTCTCTCCAACAGTGATGTCTTAATCATTGCATTATCATCCACTTTGGGTGGTATTTGTTTATTCATGACTCTCTTCTCAGTCATTGTGGTGTCTATTTATATTTATCGGAAACGAAGAAGGAAATTCGACGATGGAAGAGATGTCACAACACCCTTATTATTCACGAACCAGAAGAATACACAAATTGTTTCTCATCATCAACAACAACAAGAGGTCTATTCATGTACAACTCCTTCTCCATCGACAGATCCAATGATGAATTCTTTTGTTAATACTACTCATACTTCTTCCATGAATATCAATGTCAATATCAATTCCACAAATATCAATTCCACAAATATCAATTCCACAAATATCAATTCCACAAATATCAATTCCAATTCCACAAATATCAATTCCATCAATATCAATTCCACCACCACCACCACTCTTACATTGAAAAAGAAAATTAATTTAAACGCCATTAAGGAAGGAATGATCAAATCATGCATTCAAGATCGAGAAGGTATTTTAATTAAGAGTTCAATTGCTAAAGATTTACCAAGACTTGTGAAAAAGATCATTCTCTATTTTAATCATTCTGAATTATTTTCTTTATTAGAAAATGATACCATTCATGTGAATTCAAATCAGTTAAAATTAGATTCTAAAGATGTGAATGACATTAATATGATTTGTTGTCGATTTTTAGCAGATTTATCCAAATGTGTGAATATTGCAAGTTGTTGTACAACAAACACTGGTGCACACGAAATCACAACAGGAGGGAATCATGACCTTCATTCACTCTCCGATGAAGAGATTTTGTCTTCCTTTTCCTCCAATGCTGATTCCTTGTTGACTATGAATGGAATTGGAGTTGATGGTGGTGGTGATATTGGTGGTGGTATTCACCATGGTGATGATTTTGGTGAAGATGTTAGCAGTGCTGGAGGTGGTGGTGACCAGCTAATAGTGAGACAGTACAGTACTTCTCTGCATCAAGATCATCCTCCTCACACTGTGGTTTTGAATGGAAATATGACATTGGTGCTCGATCAACCAAATCATCAACAACAACATCAAGAACAACATTACGACTCTGATCAACAACAACCACATCAACAACCACATCCACAACAATTGCTCACTCAAGAAGAGTATTACAAAATGATGACTTTCCAAAAAAGGAGAAAATCAACCTTAATGCTCATTCGAGCTTTGAATCATGTGAGAAATAGAACTTGTCATGCTGGTGAAGATGTCTCAAGTCTTGCTTTGAATATTCTAAATTTTGAATCTTTTTCCATTTTCCTTAAAGAAACTTTTGGAGAAACTTCACCCGTAGTGAATGTATTGAAATTGTGTTCACAAACTGCACTTTTTGAAGGTTTAAATCAAATTCGACCTGCACTTCTCGATTTGGGAATTATGTTTAAAGATTTTAGAGGAAGAAATTGGATTGTGAAAATTTATACAAATTCTCATCATGAACGACCACTCATTATTCATGAAAGAATTGAACAAGTGATTAACATGCAATTACAACCACTCTACACATTTACTTATCAATTACAAATTGAAATGGATGAAGAATTTGAAAATATCACACAAGTGAATGTGAAATTATTGAATATCGATTTTAGTAAGACTATTCTTTCTGAAATGGAGCAGAAAACACATGAGAACAAGTTGAAGTTAGTCATGGAACATTGTATTCCATAAAATATATATCAATAAATGACTCTCAACGTTGAGAGTAACACACCATCATCAAACATTCCCAACACAAACCATTCACATATACCAAATAACAATTTTCCCGCCAAATTTAATCATCGTATTTGAATGAGTTTCTAGATTTAAAAAAATGACTTCATTCCTAACGACCGAGAGATCATCGCTCAAAGGGTTGGGAGGTAATTTAATGTCCATCTCATCCTCTCCGATTATTGGTGGACCACAGCTTGAGAGAGACCAAAAACATTTTCCATTTGCAAGAAGTACGGTCGACATGAAAGAAGTGGATCGGAATCATAAAGATTTAGTCGTTCCCTCAAACCGAACGGATGATCCATTTCGAGAAATTCAGTCAACTCCTGATGTTTTGTCATGCAAAACTAAAGTCAACGAGTTGGAAGTTCAAATAGATTATTTGAAGGATGTTGGTAAGTGTGTTCTTAATGATACTCTCAGTTGACACTTGGTACTAGTCCAACGATTGAGTGACGAGCTTGCACGATATCAAGTTAAATATCCACCAATTGCACCAGAACATTCCGATTCAATCATTGTTGCACCATGGTTTTTCGATTCTCAACATATGAATCCTCTCCTTGTTTCGTATGATCATCGAATAATGGAACTCTCGAATGAAATCAAACTTTACAAAGAAAAAATTGAGTCTCTAAATGCAGAGGTCAAATCTGTGTCTTTGGAAAACGAAGAGCTCCAACAAAACCTGAAGAATTTAATAGAAAAACAAATTTCAAAAAACAACGAACAAAGTTCGGTCATTCCTTTTCACATTCCCTCCGAAGAATGGGATGAATTGCAACAACGAGTAGAGCTGCTAGACCGTGAAAATAAATTATTGCTGGAGGAGCAACGAGAGCTTCAGAACGAAATTGATCGATTGAGAAATGAAAATCGACGATCCTTTTCCGAATCTAATCCTCTTGTTCCAGGAGACTCTGATCGAGTGAAATTAATGTTAGAAAGTGCGAAAAAGAAGATTTCACTTCTGCAAAAAGAAAAAGACGACTTAAAAAGAGATACAAGACGAATGAAACAACTTGAGCATGAGATGGCTGATTTAGAAAGAGCTCTCAGTGCCAGTAATCAAAGATGTAAACTGTTAGACGATGAATTGGAGAAGCACAAAAGTATTATTGATGATCTTCAACATGAACGAAAACGACTCTTTCAAACTGAGAAAACAATGAATATTAAGGACATTGAAATGAATGGTAAGTGTTAATCAAAGGGTTTTTTCTCACTAAGTGAAATATTTGTCAAGAACTTCGAGAACGATACTCGCTCTCCCTTAGAGAAATGGATGACTTGAAAGAAGAAAAAGGTAAATTACTATTGGAGATGAGCCAAATGGAACAAAGAATTGTCGCACATCAACAAAACGAATTTGAAGCTCTTCAAAAAGTGAAAGAGACCATGGAGTTATTAGAAACGACCAAACTTGAAAGAGATTCTGTGAGAACAGCCGTAAAAAATAAGGAACAAGAAATTGAGAGATTAGAAGAGAAAATTAAAAAGTTGACACAAGACTACACGGACAGATACAAGAGAATGTCCTCACATTTCCAAGAAAAACATAATGAATCTCTCCAAGCTCTTGAGGATCAATTGAAACAAGTCCAACTTGAAAATGGTCACTTGAAATCGGATTTGGATCGATTAAAGAGAGAAAAGAAGTAAGTAGTTGTCGATCTCATCGATCATGGATGTGAATGTTCATGGATAATATTCTTCAAACCATTAGAACTTGTGAGGATGAACTTGTTAAGGTTATTAAAGCAGCAGAAACCGAACAATTGAATTCTCCGTTTGTCATTAATGATTTGAACCAACAAATCACTCAACTAACTAACGAAAGAGATGAATCTGAGAGACAATACGAAAGGTTGCGAAACTCTCAAAAACGAACTCAACAACAATGGGAACAAGAAAGAGAACAACTCAATGCCAAGTACAATGAAATGCAGAAAAGATTTATTTCTCTCGAATCAGAAGCGGAGGAGCAACGACAAATCAATATGAGGTTAAACGAACATATCAGTCGTCTGGAGCAGCAATGCCAAAACCTTAAATTTGAAAAAGAAGAAATTGAAAGATCCCTCAGAGATAATTTACGGTCGCAGCAAGAGCTTTCCTCAAATGAAATTCGAGATGTAAAGAAAAAGTTACAGATAACAATTGAAGAATACAATAAGGCCCAAAACACGATTCAGCAGCTTTCTCTTAAACATCAAAAAGAACATATATACTGGAAAGAAGAATTCAGTAAAATGAAGGAGAAAAAAGAAAAGGAATTGTATGACATGACTTCAATGGTGGAACAATTAACACGACGAAATCAAGAAATGGAAGGTAAAATCAAGTTACTGCTAAAGAAAGAAGAGGAGTTATTGAACCACAAAAAAGATTTGCATATCAGAGCAGATAAGCTTACCATTTATCTTGAACGAATGAAGCGAGAGAGAGACATGTTAGCAAAGCAAATTGAAGGTAGAGGAGTCTCCGAGATTAGTTTTGGATATGAATAAATTTTGTACATAATATTTTCTAAATTCTATGCCATAATAGAATGGATTGAATTATTTAAGCTCAGTGAATTCTCGAAATAAGACCTTTCGAAAGTTGTATTAATTTCTTTGCATCTTGCACAGCAGCGATCTTGTCTCCGTTGAAACGATGTATGTGCATCCTCATGGTCACTAATTCACTAAGCCCATCGTCACACTTTGTGATACCCTCGTTGAGTGTTTCTATTGGACGTTGAGACAAGTCCAGACGTTTTGAAGCAACCATCACATAGGGAAAATAGAACTTATCAAAAGACTCGAGAGCCTTCTCAAATGATTCTATCGACAAATGATCTTTTCTTTGAATATGGTAAAGATAACCCAACTCACAGTAAATCTCACATTTTGTCTTGGGGTTTTTCGTTAATTCTAATGCCTTGTGACAACATTCAATAGCCTCAGAGTATTTTGAGGCAACTTTCAGTGCTTTGATTTTGTTGGTGTAAAAAAGGGAAACTTCACACATATTCATTGCCATTTCATAGTATTTGAGAGAGTTTACATCGTCATTGAGTTGTCTGTAACACCATCCAATGTTGTTATAGCACATTCCAAGATAATACATGCTTGTCGGATTGCATTGATTTTGTAAATGAAATGCTTGCAGAAAGCAATCAATGCTTTCTTTAATTTGATTAAGATCTCCTTTTACCATTGCAATCCTAAATGCTAAATCGGATTCATGCATTGTATATTTAGTCTTGTATTTTTTGGCGTTCTCATACATATTCAAAGCTTCTAAATACTTTTCCTCTAACTCTAAAAGAAAGCCTTGCAGTAATAAATTCCAAAATCTGTTTCTTTGTTTCATGCAAATATGAATTGCCATTTTACAAAATCTAATGGTTTGTACCATTTGACTCTTCATTGATTTATACAAAAAACTAGCCTTGTAGTAAAGATAGAAATAATCGGGATATCGTCGAATACATTCGTTAATACATTGGATGGCATTTTCTACATCATTATAACATCGATGACGATCCAATTCATTCAACAATTGCATTAAATCTTCAGGTTCTTGATTTTCACGAAATAAATAATATTCATCCAAGACATCATCATAATAAAGACAACAAGTTTTTAATCGTCGTTTGTGATTACTAATAGTTATGGAGTTGAATTGCGTTGGAAATGCTCCGACATCATTTTGACTTGGTGTGTCTTGATTGTTCTTTGGTTCTTCTTGATTAATCCTGCCGTTTGGGTTGCTGCTCCGATTGGAATGTTGTTGAAGAACGGAGGAGTGAAGTTTTGCAAGCATTTTTTGTGATTTTTTTTTTTTGAGCCCTTAAAAAATACCGCAAGATGAACATCAGAATTGACTCTTGCATGCTCCACAGCCTGGAAAGACGTTTGGAAAGAATTGAACAACAAGCGAATTAGATTTCAGCTACCCTCAAACAATTAAACTCCAAACTTAATGAATATATACGAAATGAAAAGAACAGAAATTGTGAAGAAAAGGCACGGAAGCCATTAGATCATTCGCATCACTTGTTACAATCTTTACAACATCATCTATGTGACGCAATCACCTTTAGAGAAAATCCATCAGTTGAGAAAACTAACGATCCACCAGTTGAGAAAGATGAGAATACATTATCAACATTGAATCAACCAACTCCATCAAAACAAGAAAAAGAATACAAGCCAAAGAACAAACCTCGCAAAACAAGAAGGACCACACAAGCTAAAAAACAATCATCCACCGACAAAGCCAAGCCAAAAAGAAAAACAAAGCAAAAGAACAAACTTCACGGTCATACTAATCATGGACAAAAAGGCAAGATACTATATTTGTATTATGATGATCAGTGCTATCAACAATTCGATAAGAAACGTGTAATGAATGTAAGAACAAGAAAGAAGCATCTCACCTTATATTGGATCCAAGACTGCTCTCCGCCCTTCAACATTATTAATTGTTGTGACTTAGAACTTTGAAGACAATGCTGGTAATCGATACATATCATTATTAACATATCATATCCATCAACACTATATATACCTATTCATGACCTTTTTACAATAATTGACGACTCAACCTTACAAACCAACGAAAACCATATGCATTAACAGACCAAACACTGCTTTATTTTTACCTTCTGTTTGAATCATGGACTCAACCCATGTTAACAGTTGCTCAACACAAGCATGTAATCTGTTAATATTTGATATATCCTGTTAAAAACATTCGACATTCAGAAGTAGTATCTAAACGAAAATGAAGTCCAATGTTGTTTTATGACAAGTATTGAGGCACCGAAGGGCCAATAAACAATATTTAATTTTTTGTGTTTTTCCACATGAACAAGAGAATCACCTCGGTACCTGAACAAACATTCGCAAATTTGTGCGCTGCTAAATTAAATTGAATTTTTCTCGTCACCTCTCGAGGGAGAAACAAATGCCAAACCTCAAAAAAATTAAACGATAACACCTCTTCGTTGTCTTGTTCGTTTTGTTCCTCATCACAGACCCACCCACTGTCAGGAGCTCACAATTCTCATGAAGAATCCAATCCAATCCTTCTACCAACTCAGTTGGGTCCAAAAGTATGAAAATTACTTGTAAGTTAATCAGTAATTGATATGTGTTAAAATTTCACATCATCCTGAATTGACCTATCTGTCGCAACGTTCATTTGCCACCAACATCATCGTTTTCACTCCACTATTATTCTCGCAACCATAGAAAATCCAAACGAGTCATACTTTCTTTTCTTTTAATCTTCACCAATCTATTGGCTGGTATTGTATATGGTTACGCTTTAGGAAGTATTGGAGCAGCGTTTACTTCGGCAAGTGCAGCATTTCCAAGCACTTCATCAACAACAACGAATAACACCCTTTCATCAGCTGCTCGTTTCATTCTCAGAGAGGCGCTGAGAAAACATGAGGTGGATATTTCATCGTCCTTCCAAAATAAGAATACAAACAACCAAGATGCGAGGATAACGCGCAGTGATGATAGACCAATCTCATCAAATCTAGTGAGCACTTCTCTGGACTACTACTCCCCAATCCATGACCTCAAGAATGAGATCTCACCGCTACTTATGACCTCTATATCAAGTAATGTCAGTAATCCAAATACGACCTCAACTACCAATTTTGATTTAGGAAATTCATTACTTCAAGGCTTGTTTGCCTCAAGTATTTTCATTGGAGGCTTCGGAGGAGCCATGTTCGTCATGCTCTTTGGAAATTATTTAGGTCGTAAATTATGCATGATTTTGTGTTGTGTGGTGTTTTCCATTGGATGCATTGGTGCAAGTGCTTCCAATTCCTATGCTTCATTGATTGTTTTCAGATGTATCATGGGATTTGGTGCTGCCATTTCAACCTCTGTTTGTTCCGTTTATATGGCTGAATTGATGCCCTTTTCCAAATATCAAGGTGTCTTGGGGGCCATGTACAATATGGGCATTGCTACGGGACTCTCCATCGCCTATGTCATTGGAGCCATTTTTACGGGAGCGTCGAGTGGTGGCCATTCTTCCTCTCTAATACAGAAAGAACAATGGCGCGCAGTACATGCCTTTGGAAATTTATTTTCCTTGCTCTTGTTGTTCTTGATTGTATGCTGCATTCCAGAATCACCCTTATTTGTTGGAAGTAGCAGTGGTAGCAGTACCAGTGAGAAGGATGGATCTGAGGAGCAGAATACGGAGAAGAATTCAATGGTTGGAACATGGAACATCAGTCATGAAACAGAAATGGTGGAAGATCCTTCCTTACTTAAAATGGAAAGAGATCGAATTTCTCAGAGTCGAATGCAAGCATTGAATTCAACCGCCACCACTACCGCTACCACTACCACCACCTCAACAACACTCTCCAATACTCAAGTTACTGCTGCTGGTTCAGACCATCCATCCAAAGATTCAAATGATGATGCAACTCCTCATCATGAAAAGAAAATGCCAATTTTAAAAGTTTTGAAGAGATTATTTTGTTCCAAAGTAATTATTGCAACTCTACTTGCTAGTTACTATTGTTTTGCAATTGAGTGGACAGGTAGGTCAACAATAATGGCTCTCTCTCTCTTTATTTGAATATTTATTGTTTTCTTGAAATTATTTCAATATTGTGTTATTTAAATGGTTCAACAAAATTCTTTAAATGATTGAAATTCGATGAAATGGCAACAGGTATTCAGAGTGCAACATTATTTACTCCCTCACTATTAGAATCTGCTGGTGTGAAAGAACCTCTCCATCAACTATTATGTTCCTTTGCAATTAATGTTTGGCAAGTGTTGACCAATATTCCAATTATATTCTTAGTGGATCGATTTGGACGAAAAACCATTCTACTTTTTGGAGTAAGTTTTTAATCAATGGAATATTCTTTTAATGTCACTAATTCTTTTATTTAGTTAACCGTTTCAGTATTAACCGATTTAGCAGAAGGTTTCATCTTCCAATTTGCCACCGATGGCTCAACTGAAAAGATTGTTCTCGCTCTCGTATTTATGGCCATCTATCTGGTTGGATTTAATATTGGTTTGGGATCTCTCACTTTCATTCTCGCTCATGAAGTATTTAATGGAGAACATGAAAGAGTGGTTGTGTTGGGAACTTCCATGGCTACCATGTGTTTATGGATCTTTTCAATCATTCTGAGCTTATTCTTTATACCAGTGGTGGCTGCTACCAATCAAGCTGTACCGTGGTTCATCTTTGCTGGATTTTCATTCATTGGTTTGTTGTTGAGTGTCTTTTTGTTGAAAGAAACCTCGCCATTCGTGTTGGCAAAACATAAAACAAAGGAAGAAGCGAAAAAGGAAAAGGAACTGAAATTAACACAGACACAGCAGGAGAAGGAGGAAAAGAAGAAGTCTCAATCGCTGACTCTTCCTTCGTCGTCCATGAATGATCCATTCCATGATGTTGCTGCTGATTCGCATAAGGATCATCATGAAAATTCGAAAGTGCATGCCGATATTCAGAATACCACCAGCGACATGGCTCAATAGAACTGCCTGTAGAGAGTGGGGGCGGTGCACTTTCATGTCGGTTATATTGGCTCTCTTCTTGTCGCCGTTGTTCAACTGTTATTCATTCGGCGAGGACAATTAGTAAGAACACAACTGCAATTCCACGTCATGCTAGAAATCCGGTGTTGATCAAAATTGTTTCTCAGGCTTCCAAATTCTCTTTATTGTAAAGCAACAAGATTTGATCATAAGCTAATCTTAGTTATTGAGAGGCATCGTCAATCACTCTTATTATCTCTCTTTTTGTTACTGTTTTGTATCTTCCTGTCAGTATTAAAGACTTAAAATGGCCATTCCAGGCAAGAACATATTTTTGTTGTGAAACGAGCTCTCCTACCTAATTGACAGCATGAAGAGAGTTGTGTGGTCCAACTGTTTCTTGTCAGTGGAACACCAACGCTCATACTATTGCGTGACGACTCTCCAATCAATAATTAAAAAACAAAGAGTAACAGTGGAATGAAGCAATATGCAATTTAAGAATCCAATTAAATGTTTCTACAGGTTGAGTCTTGTAGAAAAGTATGAGAGTTTCATGTGAGTGTTTTTCTCGAGCAGTATTTCTTCTACTAACGTTCAAACAACGCTCATTTGTTGCACTCCATTGTCACTGTCATCACACCTGTATCAACCTCCTTCTTTCACAAACTCCATCAGCAAGTCAAAGCGTGGGTTTTTTGCGATGTGTCTCATCTTGACCAACTTTATGGGTGGATTGATGTACGGATACGCTCAGGGAAGTGTTGGAGCGGCACTTGGGTCTGCCATTAGTGGGCTATTTCCCTCTTCAGCAACTCCAACGAATAATTCGACAAGTATGAATCAGCAAGTATTCGCAACATCTCCTCTTGGTTCTCAATCGGATCATTCGAATCGTTTGGATTTGAAACACATGATGGTAGGTGGCACACGCATGAATGAAACAACATAATTCTTTTCAAAATTTCTTCGGACAATTCACATTCGTTCTCTTTGTTCCCATGCGCACATACAGTCAAGCCTTGTGCTCGAACATTTGTTGTGGAGTCCAATGACTCAAGCTGCTGGCACTGTCTCCGCAACAACAGCAAACTTCGATTTAGGAAATTCCTTACTCCAAGGTCTGTATGCCTCAAGTATTTTCATTGGAGGCTTGATTGGTGCGATCTTTGTTATACTTGTTGGAAATTATTTAGGTCGTAAATTATGCATGATTTTGTGTTGTGTGGTGTTTTCCATTGGATGCATTGGTGCAAGTGCTTCCAATTCCTATGCTTCATTGATTGTTTTCAGATGTATCATGGGATTTGGTGCTGCCATTTCAACCTCTGTTTGTTCCGTTTATATGGCTGAATTGATGCCCTTTTCCAAATATCAAGGTGTCTTGGGGGCCATGTACAATATGGGCATTGCTTCTGGATCAGCGCTAGGCTACGCCTTTGGAGCAATTTTCTTATTCACCACTGAACAATGGAGAGCCATTCATTCATTGGGAAATATTTGTTCCATCTTGCTCTTAACTCTTGTGCTCATCATTCCGGAATCACCAATGTTTGTAGAGAGTAGTGATCAAAGCGAAATTAAAGCTTCGTGCGAAAGTAGTGGCACTTCATCAATAGATAATGGCGTGTTGAAGAAGGAGAGAGAAACATTACCAGAGAGTCAAGCTCGCAATCATTCTCCAACCAGTACTACCACCGCTTCGTCGACAACGACGACCTCAACGGCTGCATCATCACTGGAAAGCAACATGACATCGAAATCTTGCATGTCATTCATGGCAGCTTTGAGGAGATTGTTTTGTTCAAAAGTTGTCATTGCCTTGTTCATTTCAAGTTTCTACTGTTTTGCCATTGAATGGACTGGTATTCAGAGTGCCACCTTATTTATACCTGCCTTATTAGAATCCGCTGGAGTGAAAGATGCACTGACCCAACAACTAGTTGCATTTGGAGTGTTCATTTGGGAAGTGCTTACAATTATTCCATTCATATTTCTTGTGGATCGATTTGGAAGAAAGACCATTCTCATCTTTGGCGTAAGTAGTGTTTTGTTGAAAATATTACAATATTGTGACAAATGTGTGTGATTGAATATGAAAAAGTTCACTGTGTCTGTTCTGACCAATTTGGCAGAAGGTTTCATCTTTCAATTTGTTCCTGATGGTTCAACTGAAAAAATTGTTTTAGCCTTAGTATTCATTGCTCTCTATCTTATTGGCTTTAACATTGGAATTGGTTCATTAACCTTCATCTTGGATCATGAAGTATTTAATGGAGAGCATGAGAGAGTGGTTGTGTTGGGAACTTCTATGGCCACCATGGTGTTATGGATCTTTTCCATCATTTTGGCTCTATTCTTCATTCCAGTCATTCATCTTACAAGCCAAGCGGTCCCGTGGTTTGTATTTTCAGGAATTTCATTCATTGGATTATTGATTACCATCTTTCTATTGCAAGAAACATCTCCTTACGTATTGGCTAAAAGAAAACACACTCAAGATGAAGCCACCACCAGTACTACGAGCCTGTCTCCTCAAAAATCCGAAACGACCTCGGAAACAAAATCAAGTATGGAAATGAATGATGTTAGAGTAGTGACCGTTGTTGTTGCCGCGACAATACCGACAGTGGAACAGTATCAAGCAGTAGTGCTGCAGTGTAAACCCAATGCTGCAGATGACCGCTCTGCACTACCAACCCAATTTCCCAAGCAGTAGTGAATCTACGGTCTTTTCCATGTCATTAAGTTGTGGAGAGGTCTGAGTGTCTTTGCTGTCGATATTCATGTTGTAACAATTATCTGATAGAAATTATTAGAAATTATACTATATGAGAATTCAAGCATGTGAATAACTTGTTGTATCCTTGTTATATCGTATATTGTATAGTATTGTTTGTGTTCTCATAATTTCTTCTTCAATAAAATTAATGCAAGCCGCTTATTCTCCGTGTGTTCAGCTGAACGTCGGGTCGCAGTGTAATACCCCTAATTCCCAAAGAATACATTTCACGCACACTCAAAAGGCATCCATTCGGGTCGCATCTGACCATATTTGACTGTGCGTGAATGTGGAGTCTTTTTCTTGAATGTCCAAATCAAAATACTGCACAAAAGAGTGTACACAACAGGATGAATAGTAACAAGAACTACAATCCGATTAAAGCATTTTACAGGCTTCCACTTGTTGAGCGATACCAAAATTTCATGTAGGTCTCAAAATTCATGAATTTACAGTCTTTTCTCAAATATGTTTCTTTGGTGAAAATTTAATAACTTTCTCTGCGATATTCTTCTCCTACATCAATTAATTTAAATTTGAAACAATGAAAATTCATCATAATATTTGGTCGTTATTATTTCAATAATCAATCATTAATTAATGACAATAATTATTATTGGTTATTAAATATCCTCATAATTATGATACGTCTATTTAATAGCAAATCCAAGAGAATTTTTCTCACCATACTTCTCATCACGTGTAACGTTTTTGGGGGCATAATTTTCGGGTATTGTCTTGGATCGATAGGAGGAGCTTTAAATTCGGCCATTTTGGCTTTCTTTCCTTCATCCGATGGCGGCAGCATCAATACCACCACAGCTAGCGTAAGTTGGATTGATGATCATGTGTGATCACTCTTATTGTTGATCATGTTCGTGATGGTGATCATTCACAGAGCGAAACCTTTCGAGCAATTGTTTTCGTTGAGACGGCGATCAAGTCGCGCTCTCTCATGTCCATACCAGATTTTGGAGGTCCAACCAAAATTTCATCACTTGCTCTCCAACCGACTGATCCACTCTCTTCAGATTCCTTATTAGCAGATGCAACAAGCCAGAATTCAACCACAAGAAGTCAAAAGCCTTTTGATTTGGGAAATTCATTACTTCAAGGCTTGTTTGCCTCAAGTATTTTCATCGGAGGAATGGTGGGGTGTTTGTGCACCATGATCGCAGCCAGCTATTTAGGTCGTAAATTATGCATGATTTTGTGTTGTGTGGTGTTTTCCATTGGATGCATTGGTGCAAGTGCTTCCAATTCCTATGCTTCATTGATTGTTTTCAGATGTATCATGGGATTTGGTGCTGCCATTTCAACCTCTGTTTGTTCCGTTTATATGGCTGAATTGATGCCCTTTTCCAAATATCAAGGTGTCTTGGGAGCCATGTACAATGTTGGAGTGGCATCGGGTGTGGTTTTTGGATATGCCTTTGGAGCCATTTTCATATTCACCACTGAACAATGGAGAGCGGTCCATGCTTTAGGAAATTTGTTCTCCATTCCCTTATTAATCCTACTGGTTGTTATTTTACCGGAATCTCCACAATTTGTAAAGCATACCAGCATACAAGAACCTCATCACGATCACAATGATATTGAGCTCAAGACACAACTCGACCATCAAAATACCATGCAGCAGTCTGGACAACCAATTCATGATGCAAAAGAGATGAGCATTTCGCAATCAATGAAAACGAAACAGAAAATTGAGACCATGTCCTTGATTCAGGCCCTCAAAAGATTGTTTTGCTCGAAGGTGATCATATCCACCCTTTTGGCCTGCTTTTATTGTGGAAGTTTGGAATGGACTGGTATTCAGAGTGCTACCTTGTTCATCCCTTCCCTATTAGAATCTGCTGGAGTGACCTCACCTCTGTACCAGCAATTGGCTTCCATGGGAGTTGCCATTTGGCAAATATTGACCATTAGTCCATGCATCTTTCTTGTAGATAGATTCGGAAGAAAAACAATCTCGATCTTTGGACTGGTCGTTTCATTATTGACCAACTTGGCGATTGGATTTGTGTTTCAATTTGCTCCCAACGGTTCCACTGAAAAGATTGTTCTAACACTCGTCTTTATTGCTATCTTTCTCGTTGGGTTCAATGTGGGTCTTGGTTCATTGGTATACATGTTAGCTCATGAGGTATTTAATGGAGAGCATGAAAAAGTGGTCATTTTGGGAACTTCAATCTCGATCATGTGTTTGTGGTTCTTTTCGATCATCATTTCGTTATTTTTCATTCCACTTGTTGCAGCTACCAACCAAGCTGTTCCTTCCTATATATTTGCAGGTATTTCTTTCATTGGTTTGTTGTTGACGATATTCCTTCTGAAAGAAACATCACCAAGAGTTTTAGCAAAGAAACAACTTTTAGAGTTAACCAAAACAAAAGGATTGGAGAAGAAAGAAGCAAGCACGACAGAAAATCATGATGTGCCTACCTCTGCAGGCAGCGCTGCTAACGACACAGCAAAGCAATCCTCTCATACCTCTGAGAAGGAAGAGCATCCAGTTGTTGTGTGAAGTCTTTAAAATTCAAGAGGTCAAACATCAATGTTTTTTTAATGCATTACCAAGTTAATTCTTCCATTTGGGCTTGCTACAAACCACTCATTCTCAGATAATGACTGTATGTAGGAGATGTCATGGCCATCAATATTGTCCAATACAGTTCCAATGGAAGCATTTTTGGATTTTTGGTCGTGGCGAGCTGTTGTCAAATCCTCGATTCTATAAACATACCCTTGCTCGTCGCCAACAACAACACCTTTCTGGTGTTCGTCAAAGACAATAAATTTGATCGCAGTATTCGATAAATTCTTTTCCCATGTGATATTAGGTTCCTTTCCAACCAAGGCACCATTGCTTAATCCAAGAATGATATTATTTGGTTGAAGAGGATGAACAGAAAAGAGAGGAAATGACATCTTTTGCTCTAATGATGAGCGTAGAGCCTCCTTTTTCGAGATTGTTCATATCAATTGAGAATACACAATTCAAAGTTCTATAGTAAATCAAGGTCGGAATCTCCAATGTGACCATACGTTTGATGGCAAAGGTCACACCTAAAATTGGCAACATGGATTTGTGTTGGTATTTCTGCTCCTTCAAGGCCTCAAATGATGAACCAGACTTGGTAGAAAGAGTCATGTAAAGAAGTAGACCATTGCTTGTTCCCATAACCAATGACAATGTGATGACTTCTCCTTCCGATAAAACTTCAGCATCAAAGCTTAAAAGTTCTGAGCTGTCAAAATTTGCCTGAGAAAATCGGAATGGTTTGAATGGAAGAAATATTTCAAGTTCATGTTCTGGCCTCATGGCATGAAGGGTATTCTCCTCTTCTTGTTGAATCCTAGTAACTTTAAACTTGAGTACATGAATGTTTCCTTTTTCATCACAAACAACCAAAATATTGTCGAATGATTTGATGAATTTGATATTACTCTCCAAAACAAGTGCTTTTGTATGATTTCTTTCATTAGAAATTTCCTTAACTTGCATCTGTTCTCGATTATGAATCAATGAATAAAACCTCACAGTATTACGAACGGAAATGGCCAAAATTAATTCCGTAAAATTTGATGACGATTGTTCTCGAGAAGGTCGTTCAAGCGAATAAATATTTGAAGTAATTGCCGGAATTTCATTGTTATGAAACAGAACACAAATTTGTTGAATGGTATGGCCAATATAATCATGCATCATTGCCTTTGAAATATTGGTCATTAAATCATGATCATCTTGCATAGGATCATCATCCCGATACTCTTCCGTAGTTTTTCTCTTTTCAAACAAGGCAAGCTTTCCATTCAACGGTGGTGAAGACTCTTCCTCCAATTCTTCATTCATAATGTGTTCGAGTGCTTGATCATCCTCTTGTATCAACATGATTTCATCATCATCAGAATCATGTTGGTCTTCCCTGTTGTCATCATAGAAATCCTCTTCCTCTTCCTCCGTAATGCCAAGTTTGCTTTTCGACATTTTTTTAACAATTCGATATTCTGGAAAACTATCTCTTTTTTACGAACAACAGTTAGATTAGGTCCACAGCGAACATATGAATGACATCAACAGCCATCACTGTGATGAAGAAGGTCCTTCTTTTGAACCTGACACAAGTGTGTTGTTGGATTTTCAGAAGTAGTGAATCTGAACTGAGCAGACACACCACTATTCACACACACACTAAAAAAATAAGTTCGTGTTCATTCCTGTCGTGAAAGAACTTTTCAAAACAGACAAGAAGAACAACAACGCTGTTCACCTTTCGTTGTCACTGAATCACAATTATTAGGCTAATTAAATCATTACTTCAAAAGAGGAATTAGTAAAGCGCACTACTAGTCACTTGAAATCCATCAAAAACAACAACAATGACCATCACTCATGGTTATTCCAACACTCGCCACAGACTATCCCTCTTTAAGTCAAGCACCATCATGTCCAAAGCATCATCACTATTCAAGATGAAGGTCATCCAACTCATTTGTGTCCTTCAACTTCTCTTTGTTTCACATTCTCCTTTTTGGTCTCTCAACAACATGTTGTTGTCAATTCATCCAGACAACATCAACAACAATAACATACTGAATCACCCAATCTCCACCACACGAGTACATGCCATTTCATCAAGAGCCTTCGCCTGGGGAAATGACATGTATGGCACACTTGGTGTTCAAATGGGCGTTCGAGCAGCCACTCCTAACAAAGTCTCTTCTCTCACTGACATTGTGAATATCACCACTTCGTATCAATATTTGAAATTAAGTGAAGGTCCAGGTTATTACTCTCAATATTTACTCGGAATGAATGATATGACCAATCCAGCATCACTTGAATTATTAGGTATGGGTTTCGATCAATACCTTCCTTCCTATTCGACAGGAAATTCCATGTATCCAATTCAGGAAAGTCCTGTTCCATTCACAATCTTTGGATCTAATGTCTTGTATGTGAGTACGAATATGTATGTGAGTGTGGCTGTGACCAAAGATGCTGCTCAGAATTTCATCTTGTATTCATGGGGGGATTGTAAGAATGGAGGTTTGGGTGATGGTGATTCTACTTTTAGAGGAGTGGTGCGAACACCTGTCAAAGTTCAACTGCCATCTCCATGTCAAAAAAGTTTGAAACAATTCACTCAATTTGATCAGGCCTTTTTACTTTGTCAAGATTCAGAGAGACAATACTTGTATGCATATGGAAATAATAATTACAATCAAATGGGAGTTGTCAATACTCCGAGCGGAAATTCTTCAACTCCTATTGCAGTGGATTTGAATACCTTTGGAGGAAAATCATTGGTCAAAGTGTTGCCAGGATTTCAATTTAGAGTTGCATTGACTTCTGACTCGAAAATTTATGTCACTGGTTTTGGTGACCAACTGCTTTCAATATTCAACATTTACAGAAGTGAAGAATCTCCCTTTGAGTGCTGGAGATTTTATTGTGGACATTGCTGTGGCTTCACAACATGTTCTCATGTTGACCAATACTTCTAAAATAATTGTAAGTGTGTGTCTGTGATTTGAAAATGTGTCTGTGATTTGAATGTTGTGATTTTTAACATGTGATGAAAATGGATCATTTGTGGTTTTTTTTGACATGATCAACTTGTTTCTTCCTGCATGTCATTTTTGATGTTTTTTTACAAATCTTTCATGATGTTGTTGTTGTTTTAATATCTTTCAAAAGCTCTATGGTAACAAGCTTGAAGAATTGGGAAAATATTACACTGGAGCACTCACTTGTCCAATCTTTGTCTTGAGTGATCTATTCCCAATTTTAGGAAATCAAAACATTCGAAAAATTGCTGCAGCTGGAGATTTCGCTCTCCTCTTGTCCTCAGATGCGCGCTCGATTTATGCCATTGGAGACAATCAATTTGGAAATCTTGCCACAGGAAACACATCAACCATTTATGGACCCTATCTCATCACATCTCTCATCTGGAACATTACTGACCTCACTGCAAGTCAACTCGGAAGTTATGCAGTCCTTTCGGATGGTGGTCCTTTTTGTAACAAACTTCTCAGTTCCGATCCTCGGGTATGTTCAGGAAATGGACAATGTGTCACACAAGATTATTGTCTTTGTAAACCAGGATATTTTGGAAGATATTGTGAAGAATGGACTTGTTTTGGAAAACTCAAGAGTTCCTCATCGGTGTGATCTTCTCAAGGTAATTGTCTTGCGTTGGATCAATGTAATTGTACTTCTGGATACACAGGTATGAAGTGTGAAAATGCACCCTTCGTGCCCTCTCCTTACACGTGTTATGGAATTTCAGGAAGTTCTTCTTTCGTATGTTCTGGACATGGAAATTGTGTTGGAAATGACAATTGTATATGCAGTACAGGTTATGCAGGTTTTAAATGTAACCTTCCTATTTGTTATGGAATTGTAGCCAATCAAAGCAACAACAACACATCATTGATATCATGTTCAGGACATGGTCAATGTGTTGCACCTGATTCGTGTGTGTGTGTGAATGGTAATTATTCAGGTACTCAATGTGAAGTTTTTACATGTTTCAGTATTCCAGTATTTAATCCTCAAGTATGTTCTTGACATGGTCAATGTCTCTCTTACAATCAATGCAATTGTTCTTATGGATATACTGGAATTAATTGTAATACCTTTACTTGTTTTGGAAAATTATCAACCGATGCAGGAGTGTGTTCAGGACATGGTCAATGTGTGAATGTGGATGTATGTCATTGCACCACCTCTGGATGGACAGGTTCACAATGTGAAAATGTGAAACTTCCATCTTGTTTTGGAATTTCCTCTAGTTCTGCATTGGTTTGTTCTTCACATGGACGATGTCTCTCTGATAATCAATGTCAATGATTTTGCAGGCACTCAATGTGAACTCACTTCATGTCAAGGTATTTGGTCGAATGAAACGAAAAGAGTCTGTAATGGAAGAGGTACATGTACCTCCTTTAATAATTGCACATGTCAAAGTGGATATATTGGAGATGATTGTCAAAACAATGTGACGATGAATAATGCAAATGGCAATGCAGATTCAACCATGACGGCCATTGCTGTTGGAGTGGGTGTTTCTTTGGTGATGATGATTCTATTAATGATCATGATTGGAGTCATGGTGTGTGTATATTATTATTACAAGAAGGGATATAAGAAGAATCCATCCAAGAAAGAGCATGATCATCCTCCTGTCTTGAGGATGGACGATCGAGATGCATCTTGTCAGGCACACCACCATGTTTCAATCACTCAAAGTCCATTATTGACTCTGTCAGACATTGAAATGAATCTTGGCTCTACTTTTGACTCTTTGAACCATCACACACCGTCACAATCACTCTTGGATTCTAAAGTCATTCCATCTTCCATAACAACCACAACCACTGCAACAACACCTTCGAAAGGTCACATTGCCAACGTTGGAGATTTTCACCACTCACAAGAAGTAGTTTCAGATTTTCCCTCTGAAGCAAGTTTACATTTTACTTCCCTCACCAATGGAAATTCATTGAATTCCTCTTCGACACACACCATAACTGCAAACACATCCTCAGTCTCCACAGAAGTGGATCCATTGTCTCGATATTCCAATTTAGTACAAGTGGGTCGAGGTGCTTTTGGATCTGTTTTTAAAGGTAATGACATGAAAATGGGTGGAAAAACCAAAGCTCTCAAAGTAATTAAGTTCAACTCACTGGTCGAGTTGAATACTGCCTTAAAAGAAGGAGCTCAACTCATGAATCTTAATCATCCGAATATTCTCAAAGTGAATGACTTTTTTGTGGATAGAGATCAAGTACTTTGTATTGATATGGATTATTACGAGAATGGAGATTTATCAAAACTTACCTCTCCCAATGTAGAGTGTTCGGAATTGATGGTGAAACAAATTATTTATCAAATGTGTGATGCTTTGAATTTTGTTCACACACATCTCAAGATGATTCACAGAGATGTGAAACCAAGCAATATCTTTATTGAGAAAATGGATCAAGATCATATTCATGTCATTCTTGCGGATTTTGGACTTGCCAGAGCCAATCAAGGATCGACCAACAATTCCTATGCTGGAACTCCACTGTTCATGTCACCCGAGTTGGGTCTAGGTGGTAAATATAGTTTCAACACAGATGTTTATTCGTTGGGTGTTGCAATCTATCAAATTATGACAAAAGATGTTACCACTTCCATCAGTCACTTGTATTTTGAACAAGATGCCATTCAATTTTTGAGAAACAAATTGAGTGAGCCAGGAATTTACTCTAAGGAATTGATCAATCTTGTGCTGAATATGTTGCAGAAGAGTAGTTCCAAACGACCCTCTGCTGGAGAGGTTATCAAAGATCCTTATTTCTCTGATCACATTCACAACAATGTGTAGAACGACATTCGAATAAAGGCAAATCGGATCCGGAGGTGGGTGAGAGGTTCCATTTCAAAGATTTTTTCAAGTTAATTTGGAGTCGCCAATAATTAAAAACACTCTCAAAAAAATATCTTCTCGCAAAAGCAAAGGTAGGTTGCAAGGCTGGATCATCATCGGACGAAACTGTTGTTGAAATTCACTGTCGATTCATGATGATTTATGGTCGAACCACACATGTTACTATGTTGATTTGTTACCATGTAATGATTTGAAAATTTCCAAATCAATCATCATCACTGTTGATGAATGCGTGAAATTCTTTTAATTTGTTGTTGATGGCTTTTTAGATGGTCGGTGCCGGTGATGTTATTGCAATCATTGTGTTGGTTTTGTTGATTCTCTTCGGTGTTTTGATTGGTATGGGTTATATCAGAAGAAGAAGAAACAACAAGCAATAAGTGAAATTTGTCTATTTGAGTGCACTCACGCAACATGAGCACAATTTTGACGTGTGGTGGTCATCGATTTTGAAGTTTTATCACTCTCCACATCAATTGTCACATTACTCTTATACATTAAATATTAATTTATTAAACTGTGAAAACTTTTTGAATTTGGGTCTTGAGGAGATATTAATCCACCTTGATATCCTTGTAGATTCGCTTAACAAAGTTGTAGGTGGCAGCGAACGCAATGGCTGCACACATGAACGAAAGACCAGCACAGAACATGAATGTGATTCCATAGTAGAATACGAGTTGGAACAGACCTCGCATTCTTGTTTTGGTATTCAGGAAGTAAATGGAGTAGAGGAACACATAAAAGCCAGTACTTGTTCCAACAATGACACAATGCCACACCCATTTCCAATCTTCAGAGTTCAATAAGAAGAATGTAGTCACAATAGAAACGCAAGCAATGACAACAATCAGGATGAGGAACACCAAAAGTAAAAATCCATACACATAATAAAACTTATAATTCCAGAATGAAGTGAAGACAAAATAGAGCTCAATAAAAATACTGCCAAATGGTAAAATTCCTCCAAACAAAAACATGCTTAAAGGGCTCAAGTACCATGGTTTTGGAGGAATTGGTCGTGGGAATTGGTTGACTTGACAAGGAAAACTATGAGCTTTTGGTCCAATCTTAGATGGGAAATTTCTACCAACAATAGTACCAACAAAAGTTAATGGCAGTGTAATAAAAAGCCACATGACAAATACTGTTAGCATGGTAGTGAATGGCATCGCAATTAGAGCGTTGTAAGAAACAGCTAAAAAGTTCAACAAAAGGGAAACAAAAAATACTGTAAATGGAAAAATGCAAGCTGTCCAAAGAGCAGTTCTAATCCATCTATCTCCTGTTCCTTTCCACTTCAAATAGAAATGACCACTGAAGTATCCACCAATGAAACTAGTCACACAGTACATGATGACAAACGCTCTCAATAAAGCGCCACGTGTATCATGCCAAGTGTTGACAATAGAGAGTGCAATCAAAAATAGGGCCAAAAAGAGCAAGTGAAAACCTGTTCCCAACACTGCACACAATAATGTGAGATTTGTTGGCTTGCGAAAAACGTCTCCATGTAACATTTTCCATGGACCACTGTCAGATGAGTCTCCACTTCCAATAATATCAAATTCACTGTCACTTTCGTTTCCGACTTCGATATCTCCTCCAAGTTTTGATTTTGCATGTTTTTCAAGGGCAGCTAGGTCCTTATGAAGTGTTCTAATTAAAATCATGAAAACAACAGCACTCAAAAACAAAACCATCATAAAGCTGTTAATAATGGAAAACCAGTGAATCTTGTGTTGGAAGAAATTTTGTTCGAGATATAATTCAAATCGTTGCTCAAAAGGAAGCTTAGTGTTTTGATTCCAAACTACTTCGTAGGTAAAACTAATTTCGTTTGTGTTTTCCAGTATTGGTTTTCTTCTTGATGTTGTTAAATTTACGCTAATAATTCTATCTTCATTCCACTCAATTTGAAATAATTGATGAGTGTAAACAAAAGGAACTTTTTCAATCTTGTCTCCTTTCTTTGTAAGTGCATAGCCTCCAATCATGGCCCACATTGGAAGATCTAATCATTGATGAAGTTGCTGCTGGTGCTCCCTCCTCATCAAAAAATACAAGATACATACCATCTAGATAATATTGATACCAATATTGATTGTCAATAGCATAAATATATTGTTCTCTTTCCTTTTGAGTTAAAGTCATTTTGCAAAGACGTGTAATTGGGGTATTCTCTTTTCGTGTCCAAAACAAGTAATAATCATCATTCAAATAGAATAAAATTGTAGTGGTGGTGATGATGGAAGGGATAACATTTTCATAACGGAAAATTCTCGAGGAGTAAAACTTACTTCTGAAAATCGTTTCAATTCCGTAGACTTTTACGAGATCTTGTCCTTGCAGGGCTTCTCCGAGAGAGAGTGATTTATATTCCAATTTAAATTCTCCCTTGGTTGGATCATTCGGTTTACAAACAGGAACATGTGATTCATAATAGGGATATGTTTCTAATGGGTTATAGTGTGGGCCAACATGATTTGCCCATAAAGTAACCGATTCTCCAACCTCATACTATAAGTCAGCAAAAACAATTCGGAAGATGAAGATAGGCGAGCCGTCATGACCACCATATTCTATGATTTAATTGTTGTTGTTGTTGTACATACTCTGTGTGTTGTTTCATCAGCCACCACTACTCCAATCGCCAACACGGCAACCAGAGATGTCACAAGAAGAAGGAATGGCAGCCAGAGATGTTTGAGCATTTTTTGTGTTGTTATCATATGCGTGGGTAATGAGAGTGTGCAAAGCAATTGGCAATGGTGTTGGGAATGCTTTTATACAATTGTAGAGTTACAAAGAAAGTTTAGTCTTGTCTCACTTTTAACCTCTTGGTGATAATCTTGTCAGGCGTAATAACATGAACAACAGCACCCCAACCAGAAATACAATCTCTGTCAACAGCTGCCAAAAGACATTGAGAAACTACTTCAAAAAGATCATCTGGCTCCATGTTTGGTCTGTACAATGATTCACACATTCCGTAAAGTGCTTCGCTGCAAGTACCAGAGACCACAAAATTGTCTGTGTAACATGGAGCACCAATCAAATCCTGTGCACAGATAAATGGCTTATTTTCGTCTCCTTCAAGACCAGCAATGACTGGTTCAATGAACCATGGTCCGAATCTAACAATTCCATAAATCATCATGTTCAAATAATATTCAGAATCATCATTGATTATTATCGATTCCTCGTCTCAAGGCCTGAATCACAGATCAGTACCTACCTCTTTTCATAAAGCATGTTTGATACAAGATTAGACAAGCTACTTGGCTTGATGAGTCTCTCCTCTTTAAGATTATACAGATTCATTCTAAATTTCAATTTTTCATGAAAAGTTTGAATATCAGTTGCTAATCCGGTCATTCCTATGAAACATTTATCATGGATTTTGAAAGCTTTTTGCATATCTGTGCCTACAGTTTGTTGCCTAATACCATATCTTGTGTCGGCAGCAATGGCCACACAATTCTTGCCTGTCATTGCCACTACACCACCACCATTATACTCGAGAATGCTCATTTTTTTCTTCTTTGTTTCAGCCCAAAAATAGAACTATTTGCGAAGACTTTGAATTTCTGCTGTGTTTATGGCTTTGTCTTGCGCAGAGCCCTTGCAAAAGAGCCTTAGAACATAAAATACCGACAACATCATTCTCAAAGACGATTCAAATGCTCCAATCTGAATTTTTGACTGAAGAACTCCACGTGGAGAGAATGTTTCGTGTGTTCCTGAACGGAGAAAACGATGAGAAGAAACTTCAAATAATGAAAGTTGAATTTTTCTTCACGAACGGAGAGCACAACCGAGCATTAGCTTTGATGCGGGAGTTGGTAGAACGAAAAGAAAAGGAGTTCGAACAAGAGGAAATCAAACAAGAAGAGCTTCTTCATGTCCTACAAATGTACTGCACCAAGTGCAAAGAGTACAATCACCATTTCAACGCTATTTATGGCTACCAAAAGATCCTTGAGGTGGTACTTGGTATTAAAACGAGCTCCGCAAACAAATCATTAAGAGATTTATCTCTGGATGAGCTTACACTTTTGTATGAAACCTTTTATCATAAGTATGAGTGCTGTCTTGAGTTAGGTCTGAAAGGTAAGCGAATATTGGAACAAACTCATCTCTCTTACACGAAAGTATAAGTTGAGGCTTCATCTTGTTTGAACATGAGGGAACGCATCCAATTGATCTTCCAAGAGTATCAACAACAAACCCTTGCGAAACAGACAGAGCCGATTAAAGAACAAGAAATCCCTCAACGGTTGCTTGAGGAGAGAGGAGCCAATGTTTACAAGGCCTATATTCGACTACAGCATTCAAAAAAAACATTTCGGATGACTGCCAACAGAATGTCCGACTTTAACAAATAATGAGTTGCATGAACATCAAAAATTTCAAACTACCAAACAACATTTACATGATCAAGTATGATGGTCCACCTCCACCTTCTGGTACAGTCCAGTTAATGTTTTGTTTAGGATCCTTAATATCACATGCCTTGCAATGAAGACAATTTTGAGCATTGATTTTAAGTTTTGGATTGCCTTCTTGATCTGGAATAAATTCATAGACACGAGCAGGGCAAAAGTATTGCTCAGGACCACCATAAACTTTAAGATTAACATTGACAGGAATTGTTTCGTCCTTCAATTTCAAATGAGATGGTTGATCATGATTATGATTAGTTCCAGAACGAGCAAGATTTGTCAACAAGTCAAAACTAATCTTTCCATCTGGCTTTGGATAATCAATTTTTGTAACCTCAGAAATTGGTTTAGTGTGCTCATGGTCTGCAGTATTCATTTTAACGGTCCAAGGTGTCTTTCCACGGAATATGATTGAATCAATACCAGAGAGTAATAGGCCAGGATATAAACCATACTTGAAATATGCTCTAATATTTCTCTCTTTGTAAAGCTCTGTATAGAGCCAACTGCTCTTAAATCGTTCTTGGAATGTGGACGCTTCAGCTTCATCTTTAACAAGGGCTTCAAAAACGCTCTCAGCACCCAATATTCCAGATTTCATGGCTGTGTGAATTCCCTTAATTTTTGGAACGTTCAAAAAACCAGCACTGTCACCAATCAAAATACCGCCTGGAAATGAAAGTTTAGGAAGAGCTTGAATACCTCCTTCTATGAGTGTTCTTGCACCATATGCAATACATTTACCTCCTTCAAGCATCTTTTTAAATAATGGATGGTGTTTTAACTTTTGAAGTTCCCCATATGGGCTGAGTGTTGGGTTTTCATAATCCAGAGCTGTTACTAGACCGAGGGCCATTCTATTCACTCCATTCGCATTAAAGTGATACATGAAAGAACCACCATAAGTTTTCCAGTCCAATGGATAACCAACAGCATGCATAATTAAACCCTTGTCAAATTCAGGATGATTATCAGGAAATTCCCAAAGTTCTTTAACACCAAGTGCAAATGTTTGTGGGGAACAATTTTCTCTGAGCTTGAACTTGACATTCTCATAGAGAGTTTTTGTGAGAGAACCTCTACATCCCTCAGAGAAAATGGTTTGTCTTGCTTTCAACATGATTCCAGGCTCAAAATTATCCTTTTTTTTGCCATCCTTTCCAATACCAACATCTTTTGTGATTATACCGATAACTCGATCATTATTTTCATCTGCATAAACAACTTGGTCAGCAGCAAACCCAGGTAAAATGTCAACACCAAGTGATTCTGCTTGTGTAGCCAACCATTTGGCAATTTGACCTAAGCTTACGATATAATTTCCGTGGTTGTTCATCTCTTCAATTTGTGGTAGTCTAAAGGCTCTTTTTTCGGTAAGGAACATCATTCGATCTGTTGTAGCAGGAGTATAGAACGGTACATCAAGATCCTTGTAGTTTGGGAATAACTCCTCAATAGAACGTGGTTCCATACAGGCCCCAGAGAGTAGATGAGATCCAACTTCTTGACCCTTCTCTAACACACACACACTTATATCTTGTCCTGACTCTTGAGCCAATTGTTTCAATCTAATAGCACAGGACAATCCCGATGGACCAGCTCCCACAATCACTACATCATATTCCATAACTTCTCTTTCAATAGGCTCTTCTTCATTCTCAAGAGTAGCCTCTTCTCGTTGCAAAGAACGAGCACTCGAAAAGTTTTTCTTTGGTGTTTCCCATAAACTCCATGATGCAGAAGAGGATGAAATTAAAGGATTATTTGTTCTATTGAAATTGGTTGTTAATTTTAGATCAGTATTGATCACTGGTGATGATGAAAAAGCACCCAAAGTCTTAACTGCTTTTCGGAATATGTGTGATGATGATGATATTAAAGAGTTGCGCATTTTTTTTTGTAAACTCGATTTCTAGTGACTGAGGCAGTCCAATTAACCATCGGATCGAATTGCTCCAGCGATTTTTGAACTTTTGATCAGCCAGTCCAATCCAATCCCAGTAGAGGGTTAACTGATTCACCACCCAATCTTGTTTTTAGCCGATAAACAGCATTCGAAAAACAAAGAAGAGTTGTTCTGTTTGACCTGTATATTCACAGAAAATTGCATGTATTACACGTCCGAGCTGTAAAACAATATATAACATGTCTCGGTAATTCCACTAAATGAAGACGTCTCATCATAAGGAAATCCATAAGTAGACCTAATATAATCTTCATCAACCATGGTCACTCGATCATCATCAAACAGAATCCATTGATCTTCAGACCTCACAATACACTTGTAGTGGCCACAATTTGGACCAGAACCAATATGAACAACTGCTGCAAATAATCTGTATGTTTTTTCTGTTTCATCCTCGGATAAATTTGGGAGCTTAATATCGAAAGGAAAGGTCACACGATAAGAAAGCTTCTTGAAAGTGTTGTTCATATATTTGAACCTTTTAAGCTGTATAGCAAGAACTTGTGGTTGTTGTTTGATAGTCATTCTTGTTTGGGCTTCCTGATGCGAGCAACAATGATCACAGTAAAATTTGTTGTTTGATTTTAGAATTTGCATGCTACTAAAGTTTTTAAGACATTGAGTAATAGACGAAAATTGTTGTACATCTATACTAATGTCAAAGAAACTTTCTTCTCTACTTGTCACATTTTCACACATGATACATCTTGTTTCATTAATTAATTTTCCTTCAAATATTTCATGAATAAATGTTTTCACCTTCTTTGATTCCTGTGAATTTTCTGAATGTATTTCTTGAATGTCACTACTTGTATCCATTTCCGAGCCACGAGAAGAGGTAGATGGAATATTTTGTTCCTCATTCTCAACTCTATTAGAGTCTTCTCTTTGTAAAATCTCAACTACATGATTCAGAACAAAATTCAAAAACTCTTGTGCATCTTGCTGCATCAAACTTCTAAACAGTTCATTGTCAGCACGTAGCCTCTGAATAAAGTTCTTGGGAGCGAGATGTCCACTATTTTTCTTTTGATTAAACAATTGGTAAAACAAATCAGAGAGTGAATGCAATAAATTAGAATTCTTTAAATCTGGTTGTTGTTGTAGTTTGTTGTTTTCATAATATTCCAAAATTCGATATCGGAATGGTTTGCAGAAATATAACGCTTGCAGAACACTGTTGGCATAGCACGTGTTTCCGAACTGTGTTGATGATCATCAATAACAAATATTAAAAACGGTTAAAACAGAAGTATTGAAATAATTATTTCTTTACTCACATTCTCCAACCCAAAGTATTTTTCATTACCAGTATTCAAATCGTCCAATTTGAGTTGTGAAGATGAACGTTTGTTTTGCTGTGTTCCGAACCCGTTGCTGTTGGGGGGTGAATTTTGGAGAACGTTCCCCATTATTATTCATGCAATTTTATTTTTGTTCGAGTGGAAATATAGTTTTGTGGAGTCAGAAAAAGAAGAGGCATCTTAGATTACTTCTCACTTACGGAAGTATCAGTTTGGGCAGGAGCACGAGCAAACCTTTGTCTTTGAGGACGTCTTTCATTACCTTGACGAGTTGGATTGGGAGCATTATTGTTGTTGTAACCTCGTGGTGTAAAATGGGGTTTTGGTTTTCTCTGGTATCTAGTGATTGGACATTCATGACCCTCAATGTTCACAGTTGGCTTTTCCAAAAGAGCGTCAACGCTTTGTTTTGTCTCAAAGAAAATCAAGGCATATTTGTTATAAGATTGATCTTTTCCTGACTTGTTGTTAATATCAATTACATTTCCATAGGATGCAAAGATTTGTTTCAAATCACTATCCTTAGTTCCCACTGGTAAATCACGGACATACACAGCATACTTGTTGAGAGGATGATCTTTTCCACGGAATGTCTTCTTCTCACCAATCAGTGCATTCCTTTCATCATCTGTACTAGCAGGAGCGCTTGATGGTTTCTTATGATCGTTGTCACTCTTATGATGTTCATTCTTGCGATTCTTAGGTTCCATCTTGTGGTGTTCTAATTTCTTATGCTCGATCTTGTTTTCAGTCTTTTGATCATTCTTGTTATCTTCTTTGAGTTCGGTCTTTTCCTTATTTTCGTTCTTATGATGTTTTTTACCACGTTTTGGCTGTTGAGATGCTTCTTGAGCAACAGTGGTAGTTGAGGATGCCAAAGTAGCAGAATTTTGTTCATTCTTGACAGCAGCAGCATAAGAAATGGTCTTGTTGGTTTCACTTGATTTTTCAGCACGTGTTGATGAAGATGCAACAGGTGGATTAGCAATATTGCTACTTGATTGGGGTGGTACATTCACAACTGGTTTCTTTTCTGATTGCTTAGGTTCTTCATGATCGCTTTCTTCATCTAATTGGTTATCCTCAGCACCTCCGTAAACAGAACTTGCTCCCGCAGTGGCAGCCGTAGAGCTTGTCTCGCTTCTTGGAGAATGTGAACCATTAGCAGCAGTATTTGCTACGGAAGAATTAGTTGAGAAAGATAATTGAGGAGGTGTTGCATTTGTACTTCCATTTTGAGACTTAACTTGGGTATCAGAAGATGCAGTATTAGTAGCATGATGTTGTTGATGTGGAGGTTGAGGTTGAGAGATTGTTGTTGTGACTTGGTGAGGAACAGCATTAGGGGTTACAGAAGATGCACAAGAGGTAAAACGGAGGTAATCATTTCTCACGTAGTATCCATTCTCTTGTTCTGCCAAAAGGAATGTTTGAACAAAATTCATTTCTTTTTGGTCATCACTCTGTCTAATCATCACTCCTTCTACAAAAACAAAGACAGATCCATTCAATGAACGTTGTGAATCAACAAAAGTCAATCGAACTTTACAATCTTCATAACCGAGAGTAGAAATCTTTTTTTCAATATCTTGACCAACAACAGTGTTTGGATTAATATTACCAGGTAATTGTTTCACAACATTAGAGTGTTCGTGAGTCATTTCGGATTCATTCTTGTAAAATTTGTAAAGATTTTTGGTGTTAGATGACAAAATGTAGTAGTATTGTGCAACAAAGCTAACACTAATTTGTTGTGGAGTCAATTCGGTGGCCATTGTAAAGTCTAATAATCTTGTTGTTGTCAAAAGAGAAACCACACAAGAGAAACCCCCGATAAGAAAAAAAGTGTCCAAGTGGATAATTTAGATGAAGCATCGTCATTTCATACATAACAACGTTGAAGTTAACGTCGAATGGACTGTTAGAAATTTACGTAAATATATACCTACGTATGATGATAGTAAAAGGGTGATAAAGACGAACAAGGCTTGGATGATGTAGTGCGGAAGTGAGCGAACAAGGACCTGGACAAGTAAAATGAAGGGTGTTTTGTATTTTTTAATATTTTTTAAAATTCAATATTTTTATTCAATTCCTTTCTACTTGATCTTTCTTGTGGCATGTATTTCGCAAGAGTTCACTTTTGCTGCAAAGCGAAGTGATTGGATCGTTTCATTTACATTTTCTGGGTCTATAGTGACAAACATGAGTGTTTTAGCATCGCCTCCAAGACAGTTCTGAAGAAGAAATGTGAGTTTGGAGTCTCTATAGGGGACATAGCTAGCCTTGTTGGCAAGAGCAGTTACAACACTGCTCAAACATGTCAAACTCAAGTTAATGTTTTGTGTTTCCTTCATTCGGTCACTATTAGTTGGATGACTGTTGCTAATTCTCTCGCTTCCAGCCAGATCTACTAAATTCAAAACACCTTGAGTTGTTTGGTCTGTGTTGTCATTTCTTCCAGTGATCTGAAGAGTGAAAACAGAGTGTGATCTGCTGGATCGATCATTTGACAATGTTGCTGCCACTGCCCTGTTCTTAGAAGCAATTCTGAGTAGTTCTTGCACCTGTTGAGGTCTATTAACTGTTACATATTTCAAACCAGTTACGGTTGTTGATCCATCTTTTCCATGCTTAATCTCATATTTTAAATTGTCCTTATTTGTTGAGTCAAGAAGATCTCTTATGGTCTCATTATAAATTTCTAAAAAACTTGCCACAACAGTAAATGACCAACCCTTTTCTTTTAGCTTTTCTGCAGATTCGAAAATTTGATCAACGCTTCTGGGAATCATACCAGAAAGTTCTTCTTGCTTCTCTGGATCAAGGTTGCTAATCAAATCTTTTGGAGGACCCTCCATCGTATACTACATAGAGGTAATGATTCATTTAGACAATCAGGAAGAATACTTACTGTTTTACCACTACCTGTTTGTCCATAAGCAAAAATACAAACTTTGAATCCGTCGAGTGCACTCTGTACAAGCTGAGAAATCTCAAAAAAGATTTCTTTTTGTGTAGAATTTGGCTTGAAAACCTTATCAAATTGGAAATAATATTTCTTTCCTTCTGCTGTTGCTCCTGTTGCAGTAACTCTAGAGTCTTCTTGTATGTTGATACATCTTTCGTCTACATCTGCATCAGGATATGAAATACACTTCATTTCTTGAGCTGGTTTGACTCTGCAGTAAACTCTGATATTTCCTTTAAGCTCTTGAATAATATTATGCAGTCGTCTTCTTTCACTCTCATCTTGATGTCGCTTATTCTCTAGATTTTGGATGTACTGAATTTGTTGTTGGATCTTCTCCTCAAGCTCACGAATTTTTTCACTCTTTGTGTTTGCATCTTCGATCGAACAAGTAAGCTCGAATTGAACGCGGTCAAGCTCACTTTTAACTCTTGAAATTTCTTTTGTTAGTCTTTCCTTGGTTGAATTGTGTTCCTTGTCTTTAATTTCCGCAATTTCATGCAATTGTTGTTCATAATGTTCTTTCTGTATTCTAATTTCACTTTCGTATTGTATCTTAAGAGTCGCTTTATCCATTTCAGATTGTTTCCTCTCTATTTCAATTTCTTTTTCAAGGGAGCTAACTTTAACTCTAAGGTCAATGTTATCAATTTGAAGCTTCTCTTGTAACCCTTTCAAAGCGTGGATTTCAATCTCTTGAGACTTATTAATCGATTTAAGTTGGACAGTGTCGTCTTGATACCTTAACGAAAGAGTTTCAAGCGATTTGGTCTTTTCTTCGAGCTGAACCAAATCCTTCAATTGAAGGAGTTGTTCATCAATTTTAGACTTGAGGTGCTTGTTCTCTTCATATACCTGCGATAGCTCTGATTTGGTTTGATCCAGCTCAAGTTTTGTCGATTCTTGCTCTTGCTTTTGAAAGCTTTGTTGTTTTGTTTTTTGTGGAGCTGACAAGGTTCTTGACATGGATTGCCTTGTGTTGTTGAGCAAGGTGTTGCTCGATTTTTGGTACTGTGAGACTCTGGAGGTTGGCGTAGAGCTCGCTCGGTTGGTGGTTATTCTGGAGGTAGCATTTGCTCTGATCATACTAGTTCTATTGCTTGTAGAGTTGCTTCCCTTTATATGTGATGATGTACTTGAGTTGTTTGAAAGAGAAGAAGAATTCAGTAGTGTGCCTTGAGAATGCTTAGGAATTGGAATTTTGCTTGGTTTCAGGTTCGGATTGGTATTTTCCGTATCATTGGGTAACACGACACCCTTTATCTTCTTTGATGAAGTATCTTGCTCGACTCCTCTCTTGCGCTTGAGAGCGTTTGGGTCTTGGTTGGAAGACATTTTTTAACACTTGGTTTTTGGCGCAAATATTTTTTAAACGGCTACTTGTTTAATATCGATAAAGGCGCGGTTTCCTACAAGAAATTATTTTCCAGCATGCTAATGTTGTCTTTGCTCTGTTGGTAAAGCCTATATTCCTCTGTCATGGAAAATCTGCTGTATGTATCTTTTAAGTTATACATAACGCTGATCAATACGGTATCCAACATGTCCTTAATTTGTTTGGCGGTTGCTTGGGGATTGCCATAAACAGTATTAAAGGCTTTTGTTGATGTACTTGGAAGATTTACCTCATATTCACACCCAGTCTTAATAAACTTTTCATGCATATTGTGAACAAGGTTCCTGAGTTCGTCATCTTCCTTAGAATCCATGGTTCTTTGGACTTCTGAAACGGCATCATAGAAGTAAATATTTTCAAGTGAAAATTCTTTTTCACAAAACTCTACAAATAATGGTTTTCCAAATCGGTCACCCAAAAGCTGAAGTAATTCATCTTCCTCAACACGAGAGGTTTGATGGTTTGGAGTTACCTTTTTTCTTCTTCTTTCAATGAGGTAACATAGCACAATCAATCCTCCAAATGATCCAATAAGTAAGAAGGAATAAGCAATTCCAGAAACTAATCCAACAATAGCCGGGCCTAATCTTGAAGCAGAATCTTGTATTCCAACAGAAATAACTGATATATCTGCAATACCTGCTAAGTAGTTGATAGAAAGTGCAACATATGACAAAATAAATAAATGATTTTCTAACCTAAAGTAAAGATTATCATCCGTGAAATAATATACTTGTGGAATAGACAAGAAAAGAGATGCTCCTAGTTGTTGTTTTTGTTTCTTGGTTCTAGCAAGAATATTCATCAGTTTGGAAATTCTATTCTTTTGAACGTATGATGGAGAAGAACTAAATGTTGGCTTGACGTTTACGTCGTTTGGAATGCAACAAGAGCCAAATAAATGCCCGTTCATGTAAAATAAATCCCACACAGCAATAATCACTAACATCATTCCAATAATCCAAGCCAAACCAAAGTATGACAAGCTGGTAATATAAGTAAAAGTAAGTGGATTTGAAAATACATTTGCACCTCCTAATCCAACCCATATTACATAATATCCAACAATTATGGCTAGAGATACAGAAAGAATGGCCCAGAACGCAGATTTAGAGGTGATTGTTCGATAAACATGTGCATTATATATAATCTTGTTAGATATATATTCGTACATATGACGCTTAATAAAATACCTCACAATCTGTACTAGGAATGTGAAAAAGGCAGTCAAATATAATGGGATGACCAAGATAACGTTGAAATAATTAAAGCCGTTTGCAGTAGTTTTGATAAAAACAACATCAGCTTCCGTATTTGAGGTTCCTTTGTCTATTGCTAAGAGAACAATATTTTGAATGAAAGAAATAATTAAAGAGTCCAGCATTATGGCAGCTAACCCAACATATGGGCCAATATAACGAGATCTTACTGGGTTCGTGTTTCTAAGGAAAAGCAATCCAATAAACACACCACAGGAGAGAACGAAGTAAATGCAACCAAAAATTACATTGACAACTCTAATTCCAGTATTCCCTAAAAATTCATCATTAGTCACCGATTCTGTATAGAGTCTAAAAATAGAAAATTTGGTGGCATGGTTGCAAAAACATTTCACGCCAGTGCTTAGAATTTCAGTTGTGCATCCTTCTTTACTCCATGCATTGGTGTTTTCATTAATGAACTTGCACTCGAAATTGTTAGAAGTTTGATTATTAATAGGAAAAACAAATACCAATGGAGTATTCAAATTGTTAACAATTACTTCTGATTTATCAGCACCGGAAGTAATAGCAGCACCAATGACGAGGGATAAAATATTGCTTGCTCTGGAGCTGTTGGTACCTATTGTATTATTTAATCTCACATTATCAAATATAGATGTCTTATAGCTTATTAATTCAACACTATAGGACTTAGATGGTGAGTTAATATTTGAAGTTGCCTTTCCAAGATACGTATCAAAATCGAACGGAAGAGAAATTGACATATTTTCAATTGAATAATTATTGGATGCAATAGAAGTATTTCCAAATACGAAAATATTGAAATTAGTTGTTTGGAGTAAAATAGATTGAGAAGGTAAAAGTGTCGATGCAAGTTGTCTGGAAATAGAAGAGAGTGTAGAACTGATATTAGCATTCAAATCTACCTCTGAAATATTTTTGTTGTCGGCAATATTGGAAAGAGAATCAGTTAGAGAAAGGGCAACATGTTCTGCTTCGCCACCAAATTCAAAGATGTTTTTCAAGTTACCAGAAATTGTTTTAGCTCCTTGCACAAGAAAATTCGCTCCTCTTTTTGTCAAGTCAGATGTTTTTTTTGTTATGCTGTTAATAGCATCGCTAATTGTAGCATCGGGGTATTGAGATGAAATTTTGGAGAACAAAATTTCTGATAATTTTTCTCGCAGTGAACTTGTGTCTTGTTGAGTATTTAGACGGTTGATTGTTGAAGCAGTCGTTTCAACATCAATTACAGTCATATCCTTACTATTTACAAGTGCCTTCACTGTGTCCAAATCAATTTGGCGAGTTTGAATGGTAATAGGATCAGTTGTCAAACTGTTTCCATATTCATCTTGAATTAAAACTTCTACAAGTATTTGCCCATACGGTAAGGTATTTGATGAGGTGAGAGAATTGCGGCCCAGTTGTGAAAGCTGTTTGTAAACTCTTGGTTCAGTATCGCTAATTGCATATCTAAGAGTATATGTAAGAGATCTTGAGTCCTCAGTATTTAGAGCAGCAACCGTTATATTGTGAGGAGTAATCAATGCTACACCAGAGCCGTCTGAAGGAGTAATTGACAAAACCGTTACGTTGGGTGGGTATTGAGGAAGTGTTGGAGGAGATCTGACTGTCATTAACGACCTATAGTTATTTGTATCACCTGCATATGAGACAGAAACATCTACAGTGAAGCTATAAACAGTACTTGAATTGAAAACGTCTGGACTGAAAACCAGAATAGACTGTTTTTGATAAGATGACCAGTCAACACTGAGAGGGGGTGAAATGCTCCACCTGTACGAAATAGAAAGGGCATCTGGTATGGGCTCTGAAAATGTTATTACTGCAGAAACACTTGTTGGTCGTGTGGGTGATAAATAAGTAGTGGAAGGATATCTGTTGATTGTAATGGATGGTGCATAGTTCTTCAAATTGATAACCACGGTCAATGTGATGCTGTTCGAGGAAGTTTCTTTGGCATATCTATAATAAGAAAATTTCAATTCCACCGTGACATTATTAGCCCCATTAGATTGAGCTAGAGAGATAAAAAAGAGGGCATCTTTTTCGAAAGTTATTCTTGTAGGAGAAAGAGATGAAATGCCAGAAAAAAGAGTTCCATCTGTGTAAGCTGTACAGTTTACCGAATCCTTCACACAGTATTTCCATTCTTGTCGGAATGAGCTTGCCAAAAAATATGGATCATCAACGTTGGCGATAACTCTCACAACTCCGTTTTTACTCACGTAATAAGGTTCACTGTTTTGAAAGGAAAGAACGTTGGAATGTGAAACGCTTTTCTCAAAAGTATAAGAGGATTCCAATGTAGAGAACGAATAACCAATCAATTTAAAGTTGACAAGTACTCTCACATTATAATATCCAATTGGTAAGTTATCAACAAACAATTTGTCAATCAGTACAAAATCATCAAAGCGAAGAGTCAAGTTATTAACTCCTCCGCTTATAATAATTGTAATTCTTGTACTCTTCACGTAGTTCATGATATTGGAATACAAAATGTTTGGAGTGTATAGAACTCCAGTGAGTTTTAGAGATGAATTGTAGCTACGGTCCAACATGTTCTCAGTTTGATTGACAATTTTGACTTGCATTGAAAAATCAGGTGGGATCATTTCACAGTCAGAGCCATTGAAAGGCGTGGCACACAAGCAAGCATCAGTCATAGCACATGAACCTCTTCCAGAGCAAGTCAAGCTAGAGTTTGCTGGAACTCCATAGCAGGAGTACAACGAAGTTGAGCAGTCAAAACCGGAATAATAGTTTGTACATTTCAATCCAGAGAATGCAATCAAAGATTCGCTATCCACACCATCAGCCAAGTGAAAAATTTTTCTTCTTTGATTTGGAATGACAATTTGGGAGAGTGTGTTGAATGAGGCAGCTTTGTTTGGAGGAACGCCCATTTGTCCATACAAATTGCTTCCACATCCGTACACGAATCCGGCGTCTGTTAATACGTAGATGTTGTTTTTTGTAGCTGTAACTTGGATAACTTTTCCTTGAATTGCAAATCCAGTGGATACTTGGGTTGGATTCGCTCTATAGCTATAATCATTCAAACACAACTGACCATATGTATTATTTCCCCAAGTAAATAATTGGCTTCCATTCACGCTGGCTATACAATGACTAGCACTGCACTTAAAAAAGTCAACATTTTGTAGGATGTTAATTGCTGTGTTTGTACATTTTCCAAAGTAGCAATCGGAAAATCTTGCATCAGCAGAATTGGAAACTCCATTCGCAATGCTGTGAGCACCATACACGAATAAATCTCCTGTGTCTTTCAATAAGAATGCGGTTGGTACTTCATTTCCTGTTGCATTCTCACCTCTAACAACCTCACACTTGTTCAAATCAAAATTACCGTTTGTGTACAAAGCTGCCATGTAATCGCTCAATAATGAGCTAGAATTTGAGTTGATTAAATCATCGTGAATGATATTGCCAGCTTTTTTAAGTGCAACGTTAATCAGGCCCCAAAAGTATAAGTCATAAGAAACACTAGCATTTGAATATGAAATGGCACATCCTCCAAGACGAGTGACAGAAGCATCAATAACGTTTGAAAAATAAGTAACCTCGGCAGGAACGAAAGTACTTTGTTTTGAGTTCATACTATTGAAATTATCAATACCACTAACAAACAGCTTGTTGCTGGTTGTAACATAACCAGTAATTGTGTCATCTCCCAATATCGCAATTGGAGAATCGTTTGTACTCTTCATTGTGCTTGCGTTTGCAAAGGACGTAAATCCCATGGAGCCTTCATTAGTGACCAATGGGTCTCCATTATAATCAGTGACCAATGTGTAATCAGAGGCCATCTTGGAAATGTAGAAGATTCTGCTTCCATAGCCTCCATAGCTGTGTGTTTCAGGGAACAATGTGTAGGGAAAAGAGCTTGCACTGGTAGTTCCTAGCTGATATTTATCATTTCTTCCCATCACGTACATATATGTTTGCGGAGTAAATAGGCATGTATTATTGCTAATACAGGTACCGAGTGAGTGAACGCATTGAAGACCAGATGTATTGAAAAATCCGAAACATTGAGTTGCTTCTCCATTAATGAAACGAAGGGATGTGATTACCATAATCACAGCAAAGAAAAACAGCACTAAAAGGCCTTGGACAGACCTGTTTATGTTGTGAGACATGTCTGTGCTGAATATTTTTTTAGATGACAGTCATCAATGTTTCTATTTTTTACTTCGAGATGTTTGACGTTTTTTTGGCGTTCACACAATTTCCTGCAACCTCAATGGGAAAGTGAACGCCATCACCAACCAAAAAACAATGCCTCCAAAAGTTGTGTGTGTTCTTGTTTGCTTGCTTATAAGTGGCATCTCTTTCTCCCTGCAACAAAGCGGACCAAAAGCTCCCTCTTCGTTTTCTGCTTTGTTGGACAGAAAAGAGCAAATAGCCAGAAGTGTTTGCTCTAATTTCACGAAAAACTTCGACAACCTTCCCTACGACATCCCAAACATTGCAGATAGATTGTCTTGCTATTATATTGATGGTTGCGACCGAAATCTTGAATTCAAGATGCCGAAATATGGATGTGCTTTTGGATTCAATTACGGAAATCCTGAGAGCAGATGTACAGGATGCGGAGCAAGATCAGTTTCTTTCGAATACTCCGTATCCCTTTTTCCTACTGGTACTGACGGCACCCAAAAATACACACCAGGGACTGCCGTCTCAATTCCACAGGTTCGCGATTTCAGGTGTGCCATTCAGGATCTCAGACTGACCTATCGAACTGTAAGTTTTTCGTTCTTCTTGAAACTACATCGTTTTTGCAGTCGAAGTACAAGGTAGATGACACAATCAACCAAATTTATGTTGCCGGAGAATATGCTCCTTTAATCAATACATATCCTGGTTTGAGTTGGAGATTCAATAACTCAATTCCGTCCACAACCTGCCTTCAGTCTGATTCCTTTTCTTCGAAATCTGGAACATGTTTCAGAGGATTCGAGTACAGGAATAGATCTTGGTTTGTTTCAGCTTCTTATGTCTCAAAAAACTTGTTGATCATAGTCGATTATTCATCAGTCGTTCTTTCAAGCAGAACAGGAGGATATTCCACAACTATGTCAGCAATACAAAGCCTTATTGACAGCCTAAACGTGCGAGATAAAGTTGCATTAATAATGTTCAGCAAAAAGGCAATTATTTGCGACGTAAATGCAAAGAACGGTTTTGTGAAAGCAGACTCTAGCAACAAGGCCTCCATGCTGGCATGTATTAATCAATACTTTGTGGAGACCACTTCCACCATCAGCACAGGGTCCTACCATTCAGCTGCTTTGGAATCAGCCTTCGGATTTATTAGGCAATTTAACTCCTCCATGGTTTCTTGTGACACATCCATTGCATTTTTCGGGGATGCAGACAACATTAATGACGAGTCCAATCCTGTAAACACGATGATTTCACAATTTGCTCTCACCAAAAACACATTACCTCAATCTCAGGTGGATACCATCCGAATTTTTTCGTTTACTGTAGGGCTAACGGGTGGGCGACCAAATCCTTTAAAGGCCTATCCTTGCCTGACAGGAGGACTTTGGATTCCACTAGATCCCTCTGACGTTACTTCAGAACAGAAAAACGACATTCGAGGCATCATTAGTCCTTTTTTTAGATTTCATTCCTACAGACGACTTTTTGAGAGTAAGATAGTGTGGTCTGAATTTTATATGGACTTGCTTGGTGTGGGGAATATGACAACAGCAGCCTTGCCTTGCTTTTCCAGCTCTGGATCTTTTTTAGGAGTTGTTGGTGTTGACGTTCCTGCCACCTTGTTCAACTATTCGACCTATCCTGATGCTGACGTTGAGTTCAAAAAAAGACAACAAGATTCTGACGGTCCTGGTTATTGTCCTTCAGTTTTGCTTCCTGACTCATTTGTTGCAGACTTACGAGGAGGGCCTTGCAACTATTGTAATCAGCCTTGTGGAACTCTTGCTGTGATGCTTGGGTTTATACCTGCCATGTTGGCCTCGTTTGTTGTTTTTGTTGTAATTTCATTTTACTTCTACAAACGCTCGTTGCGAAGTGCCGAGGGAAAAGAAGAAAAAGAGGAAAACAATCGCCCACAATCAATTTCTGCCAAGAAGTAGGATAAAATATTTGAAAATTTTTATTGAAAGGTGGCTTACTCCAAGTGCTGGATCGGCCACGTATGCGCGTTCAGTCGAATATGCTGTCCAATGGTACAGAGAAGTCTTCTTTGTTTGTTTCAAAAAAATCACCAAATAAAAAAATGCTCGACCCATTGTTCTTTGTTTTCTCAACAGAAGACTTCGAATTCGAAGAAAAGATAGCAGCCAACCCTTTCTTCTTGAAAACCTGGTTGGCATACATCCAGTACAAACAAATACATCAAAATAATCATACTAGCTACAACAATATTATTAACGCAATATTTGAGCGTGTACTTTCCTGCTTACCAGGAAGTTATAAGTTATGGAACATGTATCTTGATATCCGAATAGCACAATGTGAATACTTACACCCGATAACCAGACTGGACACCATAAAATATTCATTTCCAGCTTCTGATGGCGATTTACATAACAACAACAACAATTACTCAAGATCGGCCATTCCCAGCGATGACATCGAGAAAGGATTGGAATTGAGAATAATTGAGAGCGTCAATCAAGTTTTCGAAAATTGCTTGATCACCATGCACAAAATGCCTACAATTTGGTTAAAATATTTAAAATTTGTTGTAAGAACACAACCAACGATCACTCTGGTTCGGCTGATAATGAACAGAGCTCTTCAGGCTCTTCCTGTCTCTCAACACGACATTGTTTGGAAGTTTATTGTTTGGGAATGGATCTTGAACGAACAAGCGAAAGTTCCGAAAGAAACAGGATGTAGATTGCTGAAAAGGTATTTAAAGCTCGACCCATCATTCATAGGCAAATACTTGGAATATTTGTCAAAATCTGGCTATTATTCCGAGATGTGTGAATTACTCATGGGAATTCTTGCCTATTCTTCTTCTGATGGACGCAATTTTGGCCATCCCATGTTGCATGTTGGTATTGCAATAGACAAAGTGGCATCTTGTTATTTAAAAGAGCATTCACCGCTACATGTTTGGAACCAATTTTGCTCTCTTATTTCTGAACAGGCACAACGAATCAATATCCCTTATTCCGCTATTGAGTCTGTTCTTGTGTCCGGAACAAAACGATATCCCAGCGAAATTGGAAAGTTGTGGACAACATTAGCACAGTATTATATTCAGCATGGAAAATTTGATGCTGCCATTAGTTCATACGAAAAGGGGATGTCGAGCGTTTCTACTGTTAAGGATTTTAATTTAATATTTGACACTTATGCCAAAATGTTTGATGAACTTATTAAGTTTCATATGCAACTACTGGAAAAAGGGCTTGACGGGCAAAATCAACAAGAGCTTGGCCTAGAGGTACTCATTTCTAAATACGAAAATTTAATGGACCGACGATCATTTCTTCTGAACTCTGTCAAGTTAAAGCAAAATCCAAACAACATTCATGAATGGCACAATCGTTTAAAGTTGATAAAAAATAGAGAACAATTTAACAGCAAGGATTCAAACCAAAAAGCCGATGATATCATTTCTTGCTATGAAGAAGCTATTTCCAATATCAATCCTGAAAATGCGAGTCATGGGAAAATTTTCTCCATATGGAACAGCTATGCAAGGTTTTTCGAGATAGAATTGCATGACCTCGGACAGGCAAGAAGTGTGTACAAGAAGTTTCTGGATAATATTAACTATCATGATTATCCTGTCTCCACAATGGATGTAGAAAAAGTTGTGTGTGATTATGTTGAAATGGAAATTAGAAATCGCAACAACTACGAGGCATTATCTATTCTATCAAAGATGATTCATTCCGGTGAAGATACTCTAAAATCCTCATGCAGAAAATCATTGTCAGTATGGAACCTGTTCTTAGATCTTGAAGAAAGTGTCAATAACAACATCAAACGAATGAAGAGAGCTTATAATGAAATGACCGAAATGAAAATTGTGACTCCTGCTACGGTTATCAATTTCACACAATTCTTGATTGAAAACAGATATTTCGAAGAGGCCTTTTCTGCTTTTGAAAGGGCTATATCACTGTTCAACTATCCACAAGTATATCCTATTTGGACTCAGTATTTGCTTCAATTCATCTCAAGATATCAACACACAAAACTAGAAAGAACAAGAGATTTATTCGAACAAGCATTGTCTCAAATGCCCTTTTATTCAAAAAGAAAGAATAGGTCAACAATCAGGGAAAAATTACATCGTAAAGAACTCCCATGCCAGAGATTTCTTTTTACTCTATGTTAAATTCGAGGAAACATTTGGAATGAGCTCTAAATCAATTAGAGTATTTGATAGAGCTATCAAGTCTGTTTCTCCCAATTCTCAAGAACAGTTTCAATTGTATCAATTGTATATCACGCGTGTCAGTGAGTTGTTTGGAGCTGCAAAAACTAGAGAGGTTATGGATTTGGCACTCAATCAAGCGGTGGAGAGCAACGATGCATCTCATCAATCGAATTGCTTTATTCGAGATTTGACATTGCGATATATCTCTATTGAGCTTAAACTGGGTGAAGTAGATCGATGTAGAGGTTTATTTGGCTTTGCTGCCACCTTCTGTAACCCAGAAAATCAAGAGCACTTTGCCAAATTTTGGGAAAGATGGGCAAAGTTTGAGAAGCAATTCGGTAATGTTGAAACCTTCAAAGAAATGCTCAGAGTTAGAAGATTTATTAAGCAGCAGTACAACTCAGAAACATCTTCTTTCTCCAGAGTGTGATGAGAGCTGTTACCAAACAAAGAATCTCTCTTTTTATGACTTTAAGAATGTTTTGTTCATTTCTTTCTCTTGTCTTGTCTCTTTTCAGCACTTCCTCAGGTTTGGTCTTTTTATGGAAGAACATAATCCTTTTAGAGCTTGGGTTTGAAAGATCTTTTGAAGCCCTGCAACAACAAAAAGACGACAAAAAAAAGAAAAAGATGGACTTGACTCAGACTGATTTTTCCTTGGATGATATTTGGGATCACACTAACGAAGAACAAACTCCTTCTTTGTTCGATTTTCCAACAGAACCCGTTGATCTTGCTTTACTGTTTCAAGAACTAAACAGCTCTCCGCAACTGCTGCAATCTGCAGAAGAAACCGTTTTGTCTGAACAACAGGAAGTTCCATCGGAGAGGGGAAATTTAGCAAGTTTGGGGAACGACATTTCAAAAACCGGAAATAAGGAGAAAACAACCAAGGCTGAGGCGAAGAAGAGAAAAGATCCTCCTTCAAACGAGACAAAAATCAAAAAACGAAAGAAGGGAGCTGATGTGGTTAGCTCTATGATCGCTTGTACTTCAACTGTATCTGCTGTGAGCTCCAATGACTCATCTCCGAGAAGAAGATCCATGTCTACTTCCAAAAAGACAGGATGGCTTGAAAAAATTTGCAGCAGCATCGATGTGCCAACTAATCAGCTGATCCTTCCTCCTGTAGTTGGCAACGGTGGGAAGAAGCCATTAAAGTTTCATACAGTTCAATTCTAATGATTAGTAAGCTTTGGTTTTTTTATGTGCCATCTTTTGTTTGGTTGCATTGTTATTTTGGTAGAGAGACATCTTTACACTACTGCACAAAGCGCCAACCAAGATAACCAGCAAAGGGCACACCATAGAAGCAACAACACAAATTACACAAACAGAAAGCACTAATTCTGAATAGTCTTGTTCTTCTGATTCTTCTCTGGTGTTAAACGAGTGTTGGCTATCTTTCATTGAACACAATTGTATAGATGATGAAGAGAAGAGTGGCTGTTCTTCGAATTGAGAGATCCATCCTTCTGCGCACAGGCAGATACCGTTTGTTGATTTTCCATGAATGCATTCCATTTGGAACGAAGTTGACAAAGATTCATCTTCGAAGCTCAAGTTAGCAATACATCTGTTGGATTCTTCATCATATAGCTCTGCTGCATTGCATGATGCTTGAGCTTCACACTTTCGAGTATATTTGTTGAACAATAATCTTTGGCCGTCCATTCTTAAGCAATTAGGAATACAAATTCCTTTGGACTGATGGGTATCGTCTTCGCAAACGACGTTCTCGCAGTTGTCCGTTTTGAAATCATAAGTGCAAGGAATATTTTCAAAATCATTTTGTTGAACTAATGTTGATTCTCCGTTTGCAATAAACTCAACTTCGAAGTCGGAAAGGTTGTGGCTTGACAATGAAAAATAAAAGTTGAGTCTTTTAGTTTGGAAAGAGTCAACAAGTTCGTGTCTGGCGAAAAATTTTCTGGTTGATAACATCAGTACTGAAACATCAATCACCATCGGCGCAGCTGAAGGGTTATGGTAATCAGCATACACATGCCCAATATTATTCTCAAGAACGACAAATCCCGTTCTTACAGTTTGAGCACAAACAACACTGGAAAACACTAAGAACCACACAATACAATAACTATAAGAGCTCATGTTTTTTTTGGCCTTTGCATATCTCTTTTAAGAAATTACTTTATTTGTCGAGTGATCTCCTTTTTTTCGAAAACGCATTCATGGACTGTTTTCTCTTCCACATGCTTCTTCCATCTTCTTCCCCTGGTGTTTATGAACCAGTTTGATACTTGATTCTTGGACAGACCTGTTGCATAACTCAAATACTCTTTCTCTGAAGATGTCGGGAAAGGATGGCAGAGGTGATCCAAAAACCATCGATTAAGCAAACTTGTGGCGTCATTGTCCAACTGAATTTTTTGAGACTGAATGGCTGCTAAATTTGATCTCAGTTCTGATTCTCCTGTTTCTATTGTCTTTTCTCTGAATTCTTGGATCATCTTTGAAACAAATCGGGTATGGATGTTTTTCATGTTTAATTCATCCAGGTCAAGAATAATTGCGGAAACTACCGCTTCAATTTCTGTTTTTCGGTTAAGGGCTGCTACAAGCTTCTCCTTGTGCAGGACGATCTTCGCAAAATAGGACCTTAACAGAGCGTTAAAATCCTCCTCCTTAGCAAACAAAAAGGACATTTTTTTTTACTGTAGACCCAACAAAGAAAATTCCTTGATAGAGAGTTCCTTGTTCCTCCATCATGATGGTTGACTGACAACCACAAAAAAAAAATATCGCAGATGTCTGACGAAGAAGTGCTCAAAATTGTCACGGTTGGTGATGGTGCTGTGGGTAAAACCTGTCTGCTCTACGCTTATGCTAAAAACGAATTTCCTCTTGAATACGGTTTGTATTTTTAATTCAATTTGATGGACTAACTTTTGTGTTACCTCTCAATAGTGCCCACCGTTTTCGACAACTACAACACCATGGTCGAAATTAATGACAAAGAAGTTAGCATAGGACTTTGGGTACGTACTCATCAGGATCAAACGATTAAAATTTTGAAATAATTTTTAATAGGACACTGCTGGCCAGGAAGATTATGACAAACTACGTCCTCTATCATATCCTGGAACTCACTGCTTTATTGTTTGTTTTTCTGTTATTAATCAAGCCTCATACGAAAATGTGGAAGCGAAATGGTATCCAGAATTGCAAAAAAACTGTCCCGATGCTCCTGTTATTCTATGTGGGACCAAAATTGACTTGAGAAAAGATCCAAACTTCAGTTCTCAAGCGATTCCAGCTTCGAAGGGAAACGAGTTGGCTAAAAAGATAGGAGCGGTCAAGTATGTAGAATGCAGCGCCAAGACTCGCGAAGGTTTAATTGAAGTCTTCAACGAAGCAATCATTGCAGCTCTTTATCCAGAGCAGAAGAAACCGCAAAAGAAACCTTGTCAAATCCTATAAAACAGTAGTTTGTGCAACTCTTCTTGTGTTTGTCGCTTTCAACGGCTGTTTCTTCTTTATCAAACACCGAGCTTGTGCAATTTTTGGGTAACGGCACGCCAGTTTCGCTGATGAAAAGGGCTATGGCTGGACCCAAAATAAAATGTCTGAGCAATCTCTGAAGTTGGAAGCTAACTCCTCACAGGAAGAAATTCAGCGATCATCTTCGGGATCATGGCACAACGCTGTGGAAAAGAAAAAGAAGAAAGCCAGCAATGAAAAAGAAAAAAGGAAACAACATGATGATTCTACATCAGAAAAATCATCAAACGAAGATAACACAAAAGGAAGGAAAAAACATAGACTCTCGTGGACCAATGAATTACATAATTTATTTGTGGAAGCTGTTCAAGCTCTGGGCTTGGAGAACGCAGCTCCAAAAGCAATTAAGAATATGATGGGCGTTTCATACGTAACGGTAGGTACACATGGCCAATGATTGTACTTGAGTAGCTGATGTGTTGTTGATGAAGACCGATCACATCAAAAGTCACTTGCAGAAATATCGGATGCAAATGAAGAAATCTGATGACATCATCTCATCTTCGTCTGCTATAGTCAGTCGTGAACAAGAGGCAGAAAAGAAGACAAAGAAGAGAAAGAATCAAACAAAATCTGGAAAGGACAACACAAAACAACCAAAAACTAGTGAGGACAAAAAAAGTGTCGAATCGATTGAACCAGCCCAAAATATTACATCTTGTTCAGCATCCAGTACAGGACAAAGTAGTAGCAATTCTATAGGATTTAATAATTGGATGCAAGCATCAAACAGTGGATCTAGTTCATCAACAACTACGATACCTTTTACCATAGGAGTCGAGCAACATATTTCAGAGAAAGAGAACGAACAACAGCACAATGAGGCTAGTAACAGCAATTTTTCCTTCCTTAAAAAAGTTTTTACTCATAGTGCTGAGTCTTTTCTGTTTGACAACACAAACAGCCAATCTAGTTTTTAATTCCTTCACTTTCAAATTTAGCAGCAGAGGAATTAACCAGCAACCACTTGTCAGTTTTTGCTGACTCCAACGCGAAGGATAATTTGAATTTATCTAGCCATTCTCTTGGGTTCAACACCCAAAGTGAAAAAGAGTTTGTGACCTCTTCGATCAAAGAGTCTGAGAAAAATCAATGCAGACAAGGAGGACACCAAACAATGCCACAACAGACAAATCAAAATCATAACGGCGATCATGCTGGTCAGAATGTTCAAACAACACAGGCAACTTCGTTTTTGGAACAATATTCGTCGCTGCTTTTTGATATGTGTCGAACGGATGAGGAAATACGTCAATTGTTTCTTGAGGCGAAACATTTAGCTAAATCAGACGATCATTTCATATTCATTTTGCATGGATATAGATTAGGAGTTTTGTCAGGATTGCGAATGGCCAAACAGCAACACAAATAAGACCACGCAACACTCTTTTCCAATAAAAAAATGGCAACAATTTCAGGCGTCATTGTAACAGGTCAGTTGATCAACCTATCATTAACAAATAATAAATATTAAGTTTCGATGCAGGCAGCACGGGTTTCATTGGGAGGCATTTGACCCGTTTCTTGTTGGAAAAGAATTATTTGGTAATTGCTACAAGTAGAAGTATCAATTCTTCCCTTTCGTTAGAGCGACCCGAGACAGACTGTAATAGACTTGTCCATCATTTTGGCTGCAAGATGGATCAACTTGATTCTCTTCATGATTTATTTGAGCACCACAAAAACGACAGCCAAGCCGTTGTTCATTTAGCTGCAATGATGGATTTCCATCCTCTCAACAGCTGTTCCAGCAATGGGACCTCTTTAATTGAAAGAATGAGATCCGTCAACATAGAAGGAAGCAAACAAATATTTAAGGAGTTTCTCAATAGCCCCGAAAAGAAGGTTTTTATTTTTGCATCATCGCAAGGTATGTTCACCAACACTCCCTTGTGATTTAATAACCTTTATTTCAGCGGCCATGGGACCTTCTGAAGGAAGTATTCCAATGGATGAAACGTCTCGGTGTCACCCAGTGTTTGAATATGGAAAATCAAAACTCGAGGCAGAAAAGGCACTCGAACAAATGTTGGATGAATATCAAAAAAATCCCTCACAGGGGCCAAAGCATTTGTACATTTTAAGATTTACAGGAGTAACAGGATTAGGAGACAGATATGCTGCCTTTGAAATGATTCAAGCTTCTTCTTTTGGGTATGTGAAATGATTCTGAAAAACAAAAAAACGTAACAAACCCATTTACTGATCAATATAGCGTCAATTCAGTGGCATATCCAGGTAATTGCGAAAAAGGGCTTATTTCGTTTGTTCACATTAATGACGTTTGCAGGGCTGTCGAGTTGTGTTTTCAATACAGCGAAACAAAGAGTGAGGAAACATTTTCAGAGCTTTTTATTATTGGACCAAAAGAATCGTCTACTGTTAGACGTATTTTAGACGTTTGTTGTGTACAAACTGGATGGCCAACTCCTTTGTTTTCTATTCCTCTTCCTGTGTTCAGGTTTATGGTTGAGCCCTGTGATTAATTGGGCTAGATGGATGATTTTTGGAATTCAAAGGGCCTCGTTTCTCTTTGCTTCTGATACAATCGGTATGTTGGTTTGCTTTGAGTTTATTGGTTCATCCCTGAGTTTCAGATTGTATGGAACAAAACAACGCCTATTCTTCTCAAAAGGCCATTTCAAAGCTTGGATATAATCCTTTGACATGCGAAGAGGCCTTTATCAAAAGTATTAAAGGAACACATGCAATCGGGTGCAATTCCACACTACGAAACGGTAAGAAATGTTCGCAAGGGATTGCTTGTTGGTTCAGTTATCTCCATTTCATTTTGTGTTATAGGATTTTTGTATTTGAAGAACAAAGGCATTGATTGAACATTAAACTGATATCTCGTTCAAGTAAATATACTTCTTTCGCATTTCAAAACTAAGATTGTGGTTGTTATACATTTGATTCAATGAGCATAATCCAGTAATAAATGTTCTAATTTCTCTCGATTTGTCTCCTTCAAGAAATTTAGTCTTCTTAGAATGTCTGGTCATGATTGCATGTTGATAAGTTTCTTTTTGTTGAGCGAGTTCAGACATTAACATTTCCTTAGCCCTTCTCAACACTTGTCGTGTGGAGTCAAGAGGATGGGACTTACAGTGGAACCAAAGAGGTCCATAGTTAGGATCAGCATTTACACACATATTTTCAATGTGCTCTTGGGCCTCATTGCTGTTCGTGGTAGAGACAGGAGCAGCGGCACTGTTTGGAATCGAAGGGCCTCTAGTCAGTAATTCTAATCTCAAGTACTCAATAAAACTGTCTCCATATTGAGGAGTAAACTTGATCGCAAAGTCAAGGCACCTTTTTGCCTTCTCTAAAGAGAACTTGGGTGATAAAGGATTAAGAGCGATACGGGCTCCTTCACACCACACTTCGCCACTTTTTGGAACCTCTTCAAGAGCTTCCTTAAATACACGACAACATTCAACAATATTTCCCTTCATGTGATGTAGTTGGATTAGGATGGCCCACAGACGACCTGTTCCTCTGTGAATTTGCAAAGCTTCCAAAGCTTCACAGGTTGCTTGTTCGATATTTCCAGCTCTCATTTCAAGAAGAATACTTTCCAAAAATACTTTCCATTCGTGTTTTGCTTCTTGTTTTGCACGATTCAAAAAATCACGAGCCTTGTCAAGATGATTACAAAATTCTTCTAATCTTGCACATTCAATCAGTACTACAGCTTTGGTCTTGCTTGGAACTTCCTGCAAAGCTCTATTCAAAAGCATGCGAGAAATTTCAATATTCCCAGCATTTAGCTCTGTTCTCGATCCAGCAAGCCAAACCTTCCAACGTAAATTTTCGAGAGCCTTGATTGCACTCTTGCTGTAGGCTTTTCGTGAGAGCTGTAAATGACTTGCACGTTCCTCAAATTGAGCAAGTTCAAAGTACACTTTCCACTTGAGTTCCTTACTAATGCTTTTTGCAGCTCTAGAAATACATTGACGAACCTCTGTCAGGCATTGTTCCTTACTTTCCATGTCAACTGCTCTATCAAGTTTTCTTTCATACAGTCGTAGTGCCGCAAACCAAAGAGGCCCATAACGAGGATTGGCAATAAGACCTTGTTCGACAATATTGAGAGCTTGATCGAATTGTTCACACTTTTCCTCAAGCTTGTACGCTTCGTAGTAGATCGGGCCATGACGATGAACATTCTTCATGAGGTATTTAAATACTTTTCGAGCAACGTTAACGTTGCCTGCACGAGATTCAAGCAATGCTCCTTCCAAAAGAATCTTCCAGCATGTTTCTGGCTTTTGTCCCTTTAGTCTACCTAATATACTTCTGGAAGTCTGCAAGTCATCGTTTTGCTCGAAATGCTTGATGGCTTTTATGAGAAGAGATTCGTTGTGTTTGCACTTGTCCAATCCTTCCAAGAGCAACCGTCCACATTTCTCATTGTTACCACTTTCTTCCTCAAGTTTAGCATATTCAAGCCATCCTTGGCTTGCATTTGGTTGCATTTTGTTTACAGTACAAAATTCTAAACGAGCTTGTTCAAGAAGGTTTTCTCTTTTTGCCAAATCAGCTAATTCCATGTGAACTCTCCAATGCATGTGTCTTTCGAGTGAACATTTAGGATCATTTAGGTAATTCATGGTTAAACTCTTAGCTCGTTCATACCCCAGTGGCTCGTAATTCTTAAGCAAATTTTGGAATTCTTTAAGGGCAACTTTGTCGTCACTAGATTCCTTCTTGGAAGGCGAGGTTGGACCATTATTGCCCTCTGCTCCGATATCGGTGGTATTGTGAACCAAATTTAAGTTAAGGTTGAGAGAGGCGGGATTTTGGATTGTGCTGTTAGAACCCATTCTTCGATGTTTTGATGGAGAGTTCGGAACGCTACTGTATCCATTCGGGTGGACATTGATTGATGGATTTTGAATTGCCTTTTCATAGGGCTCATGCCAATTTCCTTCGGTGATAAGGTCCACTTGGTCAGATGAACTAGCTCTTGTGTGGGCAAACCCTTGCTTCGAAGAAAATGAAATGGAGCAGTTGTTGGTCATGTTCGGTGGGTATGTGACCTCTATGTCATTTACAGCTTGGAGAGGAACAGTAGAAACTGTGAGAGAGGTTTGCAATGACTTGGATAGACTATCAACTGTTGAATCATTACGAGAAAGCCAAGATAGGGAAGAAAGGGGCTCTTGTGATTGGACATGAATGGTTTGATTCACATGGGACGGCGTTGGTTGTTTGTTGAAAAAAGATTCCAGCTGTTGTGATTCATTCGAATGGGTTTCAATGTGTCCTTGGTGGTTACCATCTAAACATTTGGAATCATCTTGGACACAGTAGGAATTGCTGAATTGGAGGGGTTGAGCCATGTTGGAGTAGGTGCTCAGTTGAGGCGTGTGAAGAGACAAGCTAAAGGCTTGGGTGTTTTGTGACGTTATATTTCCTGAAATGTGAGTATGGTAAAACCCATTCACCTTTTCATTCCATGGATCATACCGATTATACAATTGCATGTTGTTTTGGGAGGATGCAGCAATTTGAGAATTTGCATAAGAAAAGAAGGAATGCGACAAAGACGAGGAGGTACCGTTAAATCCACTGTTCAAATCCAATTCTCTGCATTGTGTTGTTCCATCTGAAATGCACGAGGGGTTACCAATTCTATTCAGAGAATGGCACAAGGATTTTTGAGAGGAAGGCAAACCTAGCTCATCTTTGATGCAGCTCGGAATTAATGGAAGTGACTGTATCTGATGAGATAAAGGGGGTAAACAGTGTGCATAACACTGATCCCAAACATGGTTGTTGTTCGCTGCCACAAGAGATTTATGTGATGATTGAAACGATGTTGTTTGCAACGGAATGGTTCTGTCTGATCGGGTGCTACCTGCAACGTTTGTATCGTGTTTTGTTGGCTGTTTGAAAGTACCAGAATTTTGTTTCTTTGAAGATGTTTTGCTGTTACCGACAGCCGTTACTTCGACCTTATGGTTTGTCTCTGAATAAACTATGTGATGGAATGCTTTATCGCTTGAAGGCATTTTTTGTTTGAAAAATTGTATTTTTGAAAATATTTAATTTTTTTTAATAAAAGAAACAACGTTTTTAACGGTCATACAAATTAATTTTTAGAAATTCGTGTGTTTTATAGAAAGAAAGGCCTTCTATTGTTATTCACTCAAACAATCGAAGCCACTGCAGAAATACAAAAAAAGAATCGCAACAGTGGCAACGACAACACAAACACAAATAATAGATGCCTTGCACCAGCTTGAGATGACTGATCTTTTCAATTCATGTGTTTTCCTTTTAAATTCTTCGGCCCTTACAACCAACTCGTCCGTCTTTCCTACGAGAATATCAATTCGTTCACCTCTCTCAATAACTTTATCAATATTGGTAATCATTATGTTTTGAATTTCTTGAATTTGATTTTTGATTTTTCGGAGCTTATTCGCCTCCAGATCATTGTTGAAATAGTTCATCTTGCTCTTAAGAAATGGTTTGAAAGACTTGTTCATAGCATAATTGTGTGTGGTTGTTTTCCCAGAGTCACTGTACAACCTAAACCATCTTTTTCCGATCAGTAAACTGATCATAAATGCTTTATTGCACTTACTCCTCTTTAATATTCTGAATAAATTTAAAGCATTGTGCCATACTGAAGGACCTATCACTCATGCACATGAATGTAATTTCATCGGAAACCTCAAATGAAAAATTGTAAGAGTCATATGAATAAATCATCTTTGAATTAAGAGGAGGAATTTTCTCTAAAATTTTTAACGAAACTCTTTGGAAGTTACCATATTTTACCAAAGGGTTTGTGAACTCTGCTAGTACTAGAAGATCGTTAAAAGAGGTTCTTCAATGTCATTCTACCCCAACGTACCCTTATTCCCTTTTGCCACAACACAGTACAAGATACAGCCATCATCGCTCATTTTTTGCTCTAAAAATGAGCGATCCCACTTGGGGTCAATCAAACTTTCAATAAAATTGTTTGCTCTAAAAAAAATGAGTTCCTATGCGGGTGATGAAGTCGGAGCGATTGTGGTGGATGTTGGATCTCACACCACAAAGGCCGGATTTGCTGGAGAAGAGAACCCAAAAGCTGTTGTTCCTTCGGTATGTTATTATTTGTTGTCTCTGATCACCACTAATCACCACTATTTACAAAATGAGCAATAGGTTGCTGGTGTAGTTTATGAGAAGGAGGACAAATCAAAGGTCTCCAATTATTATTTGGGATTGAAGGAAATATCATTTGCAAGACCACACATGGAGATTGAAAACATTTTTGATCCCGAATCCGGTGAGAGTAGGTGATGATATTGTTGATAATCATTTACTAACAACCTAATTCAAAAGTTTGCAATCTAGATTATATGGAACGATTGTTAAATTATATTTACGACGAAAGACTTGGAGTTCGAACAAATGAACATCCTCTTTTAATGACAGAAGTACCAACAAGTTCTTCTCAAAATAGAGAAAAACTCACATCGTTGATTTTTGAAACATTTAATGCGCCTAATTTTTTCTTATCCAAACAACCAGTCCTAAGTTGCTTTGCAAATGGAAAGTACACTGCTCTTGTTGTTGATAGTGGCCATAATTTTACCACTGTCACTCCGGTTCTTGATGGATATGCTTTGCAAAGATCTGTTATCAAAACAAACAAAATCGGAGGAAAGGCTTTAGATGATGAATTAAGAAAATTAATTGTCTCTAAAAGAAATGGTAAAGATATTCTAGCACTTCATCAATTTACAAAGCAGAGAAACACTCCACTCCCCAGCTCAAAATCAGCTAAAATTATTGAATCTGAAATCCCAGGCCTCACTATGTCATTTAATGAATACTTTAAAAATAGAATTGTTAGTGATATCAAGATTAGTTTGTTGCGTGTTGCTGAGAGGAACACTCAAAATAACACTTCCATTCCAATTGTATCTTATGAAATGAATGACGGAATAGAAATAGAGATTGGAAATGAAAGAGAGTCAATTTGCGAGTTGTTATTTAACGAAGAATACGGAATTCACAAACTGAGCTACGAATCGATTAATAAGTGCGATGTTGATCTTAGAAAAGAATTGTATTCAAATATTATTTTGACTGGAGGAACCACCCTTATTCCAAACCTTCCATCCAGATATGAAATTGAATTATCTAGAATCGCTCCAAGTAATGCAAAGGTGAAGCCACCTTTGAACACAAAGCAGCATTCTACAACAACATCTAATCCATCAGGCTCTAATCAAACAGCTCTTGCTCATTTACAAGAAAGAAAATATACTTCTTTCATTGGAGGTTCAATTCTTGCCAGTTTAGGAGGTTTTCAGCAAATGTGGATTTCGAAATCAGAATTCGATGAGACTGGAGCTGCTCAGTGTTTGCTTAGAAAATGTCCATAAATGTTATTATTGAAATATATTTTTAAACATATTTTTCATGTTTTGATTGTATTCAGTCTCCAATTTGCGACACTTGTTAAACTCCGATTCAATAAGATTTGACATTTGCTTGTACAGTTCAACTGAATCGGTGGTGTTTGTCTTTGCTGAGCCAGTAATTATCTTACTAATAATTGCAATGTTGTCGTTTGGGCTTATGGTGGACAAGAGTTGTTGTGCTTGCTTGAAATCTTGTATGGCCAAAGAAAAGTTTCCCTCGCTCATGTGAGCCTCTGCTCTCTTGAAATAGCTTTTTACATTGGCTCCAATGTTTTCAATGCATTCCGTACTGAATTTCACAACATTGCCATATCTTTTCAGTTTCATTTCACATGTTAACAAGTTGTTAAATAATGTTATAAGAAGGTCTCTTATCTTTCTATCTTCCTCATCCCATTTACTTTTATCAATTTTTCTTAGCAATTTAATTCCTTTTCTATAACACCTTGATGAGGAAATATACTTTCCTTGAGAAAAGAATATATTCCCTTCCTCCTTTTTAGAAAGGGTTAGATTGTACAATTCTGTTTCGTTCATATCCCAGTCTGTATTGGAAATATTGTTCGTTTGGATAATTTTCAATAATTGAAGATTTATAGAATATCTAATGGCATCTTTTTCGGACTCAAATTCAGTCGACTCTCCGACTGTCAAGCCAATTAATTTCTCTTCAATTTCTTTAAATTGAGTTTGTTGTTTTCCAATTACAATTAGAAGGGGCTTGTCTATCTCGAATGAGTCTTCTATCGTTTCCCATTCGGAACGATCTTGTGTTAGAGCAGAAATTCTGTAATGAAACAAAACTGAGTCTCCGACTTTGATGGAAGAAGGAGAATGACTCCCAGTGGAGTGAGAAAGAGGAGATTGAAGCATTTTTTGCACTTGAATTTCAAGGCAATCAAACTCCTGATCGTTCAACCAAGCAAAACACGTTGTGCTGTATCATCAAGAGTTTCAAAATATTCTTTACATTCATTAATTTCATCATTCCATCCTCAAAACTTAATAAAAAATGAGCAACACAAAGAAAACAGGAGATGTTGATATTAAAGTCGTCATGCTGGGTATGGAGGAAAATTGTGCTGGTTTATTTCTGATTGGTTTTATCAATTTAATTTTTTGATCATCATTTGTGGTCCGAATATTTGATGGTGAAGGCGATAGTGGTGTCGGAAAGGCAAGTACATGCTCTAAATTTAGTTTCCATCTTCAAACATTTAATATGTAGACGAGCTTGGTAGGTTGATTCAATTCAATAATGAATGATTAATCTTTTGTTTCAAGCTGGTCCGATTTCTGGACAACACGTTCGGAAATACTAGATCAACGATAGGAGCATCCTTTTTCAAGGTTTGTATTTCATGCCGACATAAAGTGGTTGTCATTTACAAAATTAGAAATCAATCCCAAGCAAAACTGGAAAAGGATCCATAGAGCTTGGTCTCTGGGATACAGGTAAGCTGCTAATATTTATGAGTACTTTTGCTCACCACATTAGCTGGTCAGGTAAGTTTGCATTTTACAATTTGAAATTTGGGGACTGACATCCATCTTAAGGAGAGATATGACTCTCTGAGGTACGTGTTGTTAGCAAGTTAAATTATTTCAAATATATATTTGCCCAGCTCTTTTTACTGTCGGCACACGAACGTAGCCTTGATTTGCTATAATGTTACAGATGAATCCACATTTCACAACATTCAAAAATGGTATCACAAACTTGAGACCAGTGTACCAGCAGAGGATTGTTTTGTTATTTTGGTTGGAACTAAATCAGACTTGGGCAAACCTGTAATTACAGAAAAAAAAGTGGAAGATTTGATCTCTAACAACAGATTAATTTACAAACATTTTGTGACAAGCGCTAAAGACGGAACCAATGTCAGCACTATTTTTGATACCATTGCAGAAGAATATGAACGTAGAAAAGCTACTAACCAGAACAGGCGATCATCTATTGGTATGGTTCCCATTTCGCAGCTGCAAACAAACAGTGATACTTCCCTCAAGAAAGGTTGTTGTGGATGAAGTAGTTGATGTTGTCTTTATTCATGTGTAGAAAATGTAAAAGTTTGATAAATTAGTGTTTGCTATTGGACATTAATCCGTGTTTTTCACAGAGAGATTTACAATGTGAGCATACAAATCGCTCCAAGTCAATCTTGTCTTTCATAAAAGAAACATGCTCGTCACAAACACTGTACGGACAAGTAAAGCACTTCTTTACAACAGATGAGCTGTTGCATTCAGAGCAGAAGTGTTGTGGACAAACCCAATCGCCTGAAGGTATCTCTGTTAGGCCAACGCATTCCAGATGGTATACTTTTGTACAGCATTTAAAGTCACAACAAATCAGCTCTCCACCATTCTTGCATATAAAACATTCATCTTCGTGAACCTTTGTTTCTTCTTTTGCTTCAAGCCTGGAAAGATACACAGAGAAAAGGTCTTTGGAAGAGAGTTCAGTCAAATCAATATCTTGATCCTTCACGTACTCTCGTTTATCCTTCTTTTTCTTTCTTGGAGTTGAGATGGACACATTTTCTTCATCATTTGCAATCCCTGATAAGACCTTGAAGGGTAAGTGTTGTATGAGACGTCTTGGCTTTCGCTTAGCAATAACTTTCTCCTCTGTCTGTCTGTTCTTTTCGTTTGTCATATGTTTTTTTCTTTTCTTTTTCGTTGAGTCCTTGATTTCATGTGATTCAGGATTCGAATTTGTTGTCACATCAAAAGATTTAGAGGAAGAAGATGTATATGTAGATACACTGTCATCTTGGTCTTCATGATCAACGGTCGAACTGCTAGTTGCTTTCCAAGCAGTTAGCCCAAATAATCCAGATCCAAATAATGAAAATGTCGAAGCATTCTTCTTTTTCTTAATTTCCTGATACATCATTGCTGCAACAGTTCTTTCAGGCGTTTTGCCAGCACTTTTCACTAATTTCCTTTCAAAAATTAGTTTTGTTAAATCAGTGGCGGTGAGAGGCTTATTCACCTCTGAAAGAACGATCACACTTGCATCTCTGAAGCTATGGTACTTTTGTGATGAGTCTTCATTCAAAGAGAGTACTGTTGTTGGTTTGGTCTTCCTCTTTCTCTCCTTTTTTTTGTCTCTTTTTTCCTCTTCACTTTCAGAAGATGACGACTCTGTACTTTCACACTTTTCAAAAGTTTTAAAGTCTTTGTAAGGTTGTACTGGGATTAATGAATCATGGTGTTGTGTTGTTGAATTATTCTCCAACTCGTTGCGCTGTGAAGAATTTTGGCTGACAATAACATGATCATCATTAGACAAAGCTGATGGTGATGATGCAAGATTGTCATGACAATCGACTACCATTACACTGTCTACTGAGAAACCCTTATTGTTGATGTTATTGGATAACATCTCTGTGGTCCTTCTTGTTGATCGATTCTTGTTACTGGATCGTGAGTGAATTTGAGGATGGTGATTTGAAAGAGATTCCACTGCTGCATCACAATTTTGTGAAGTTGTATGGATGTCATCCGATGTGTTACAAGAATGTTGAGAGTGGCCACAATGAGATGACATGGAAGAATGATACAATTGTTGTGATAACATGGATGATGAATGATCGCCACTGTTTAAAGCAACGCTTCTTGTGTCTGAACTGAACTTTTTACAAAATGTATGATGATCATCACGGATCATGTTGTATGGAGAGGATGTTGTTGTGTTTGGACAACTATTTGTGCTACTGCTCGGAGAGTTACTTTGCAATTCATTGGAGGATATGGATGTTCCATCATGATGATGAAGGCTGTGATGACGAACAGTATTTTCTTGATCATTACATCCTTGATGAAGTACAAGATGAACTTTTGGATCACAGTGATCGTTGTTTAACAAGAACTCATCATCATCATCGTCGGAATACAATCTATTACTAATGCCCATCACATGCTCTACGTTGTGTACAGGATGAACCGATGGGATATGTCTACGTGTAAAATCTTCAAAATCTCTGGTCATGCCGTTGCAGTTCAAGATGAAGAGTATTTGATCAATGTTGTTATTATTATCAACGCTACGAATTGAGAAGGTTGCAGCGGTTTGATTCTTTTGGTATGATTCTTTCATCCCAACAGAGGAAGAATTTAATTGATCACTGGTTCTTTCGGCGATAACATTGAACAACCGAACTTGGTCAAGCATACTTGGATCGGAGGAGTGCATCGCACGCTTTAGAATTTTTTGCGTTATTTTTGATGGTCGAACAGGAAAGGGTGCCGTGAATGTATCGCTTATTTAGTTATTGTGTATCGTTTTGATTTTGTTGGTACTACATTGATTCCATTGAATTCTTTGATTCCAATTAATAAGCTTGCAAGGTGAGGAGTTGGGTGAGTTTGACGACTTTGTGTTGACGACTTTCTGTGATGTGATTGGATCCTTACAAATGTCACAGAGAACCTTAACACCACCCCCAAACTGTCGCAGCTCGTCAGCAAGCTTCGGAGATACTGCTGAAATGGCTTCGTAGTTTCTATGGTGATGTAGAAGCTGTTTTTTTAAAGCCTCGTTCATGGGAAGTTTAGGAAGAGGAAGCGTCTCAAAGAGTAAGGTTACAATGATATCTAATTTTGGAGTCTTGAAAAAGGGCACAGTAGATGAGTTAATATCCAAATGATTCTTCAGATATTTGTGTAAGTCCAGATTTCTAATGTCATTCATTAGGTCAAAGAAAACATATTTGTGTTGAGTACACGTGGCCAGTTCGTTGGACAAAGTATCACAAAACGAAAACAAAATATCTCTAACAACTACTGGAGAAGGCTGAAGATTTGTGGGGTCGTATGTTATGCTTGGTGTGCTATATATGCAAGTTTGAGTTTTAGATTGAGAAGTAATGGCCATTTCGTCATGGGGTTCCACTCTCACCACCTCATTCAAATAATCCCCAAGCGTGTTGGCTAACAATAATTTTTCTCTTCTTGATGGAAGGTAATCATTGATCAAGAACAAACAAAAACGCCTCCAACTCATTGATGCGTTCGATTTGAACAATCTATAAAACATTGAGCTTGCATTTTCTGATGGTTTCATTGTGAAATAACCTCTTTTCATATTTGTTTCCTTATCGATTTGTATCATTGCCTCATAGAGTTTCTCTACTGAAACCCAATATGAGGGATATTTGAAGCGCGCCACGTCTAACAACAAGACCATGTCTTCATCAGGATTGTAGCCTCCGATTGGACTAAAATGTCCGTCTCCTGTTTGATCCAGTGCTTTACGAGAAAAATTGACTACCAAATGAAATTTCTGATGTTTGCAAGAGTCAACAATATGCTGTCTAAACTGTTCAATTGTGCTATTTCTGAATAACTGGATATCCAGTCCAGAACAAACAGCCAAACACCAAAATTGCTCCATCTGCAATCCTTTCGATAACACTTGATCCTTTGATACACAACAGTTCATCAGCAAATTCTCATCATAAAAACGCCATACTCCTTTCCAAACCTGATTAGGGTCACATTGGAGCGAATTTAGCACCATACTCAAACTTCCGAGACCACAAAATGCCGGCTCCTGTTGCGTATGAAATTGTTCAGCTAATGCAAAATAATTCTCCATGTATTGTTGCTTGAGACTTGACCGAAACAATTCTTTTCCTTTCTCCGAGCTGAAGGGAATAAGCATCTCAGCCAGTTTTCTTTTGTAAAAAGAGATTGCACAGGTTGGAGCAGAGCTGAACAAACGAAGAACAGAAGAAGGTTTGAACATTTTTTTGTTTTTGGTCAACCACGGAAGTGCGGACAGTCTATTTATTCGCCAGATCTTTTTTCTTTTTGAAATCACGTTTTTTCTTTTGCAAAGTAGAGCGTACTTGAAACACGTTTTCGATGGCTTGCTTAAAGATGTCAAAGTTGTAATTGATGAGACCAACTTTCTCATAGCTATCTTTTGTAAGCAAACAAACCAATGCAAGATATTTGTTAACTTCTCTCAAATAAAGAACACTTCCGTTGTTCAATTTGATCACAGCACCAGTTTCTTCATCATAGGCGCCAGTTGTTCCTTCTCCTCCATTCACTCTGTTTCCATAGATGCAACTTATGTCGATCACAACATCTATCATATCACTACACAGTTCGTATGTAGTATTGTCAACAGGTGTAGCATCAGTAGCAATATAGATTTTAGAAACCACATCAAAAAGAAAAGCCTTTTCCAACCGTGAGTTTGTCACAAGCAGGTCTAATAAATTCTCTAATGTTGGTAATTGAGGAATTAGCTTTTGAATAACCTTACTAAAGGCCTCAAATATTGAATGGTCATAAATGCTTGTCATGTGAAATCTGGTCTTAACGTTTGGAGATACTTTAATATCTGAATCATTCAATTCATCTGACAACCTTTGTTGAATGTCCTGTTGAATTTGAATTTTGTGATCGTCACTGATTCCATCCATTTTGTGAATGAATATTTCAAATGCAATTTGATCGTTGACCTTGCTGGCTTGTTGAATTGTTTCAGCTAACTTTGTTATACTGTCCAAATAATTATCTTGGGCATCAATGACATATACAATGGCTCCACATCCGGTGAAAATTAATTCACATTCAAAATTCTGAGTGTCCCCAAATAGGTCTATCTGACCTGGAAAATCCCAAATTTGGAATTGAACAAAGGTGTTGTTTGAAATATCGTTCTTCACAATTTTGTTAGTTGACTCTAAGAAAAGTGTTTCGTGTGGAGACATTTTCTGAAATACGACTTTCTGAATGGAACTCTTACCACTCCTTCTAAGACCCATCAACAAAATACGAGGCTTGTCGTCTTCAAGAGAGCCGTTGTTCTGACTAACGGACTTTCTGAAGCTGGTGCTAATTTTTTGGAAATTTGGTGTATGAGCACCAACACCAACACTCCCAATAACAGCATTGTGACTTCCGAGCATTCCTTCTTGTTTCTTGGCTGAGGTATTGGGAGTTTGTTGTTTTTCAATATTTTCAAGAAGATGAGAAGGCTCTTGACCATAACTCCCACCAACAAACTCATCATCGTATCCATAATCATCCCCAATATTTTGATCAAAATCTTGCTCCGACAAATCATCGTAATGGTCTTCAACTTCGTCCGACAAATCAAAATTGAATTGATGAGCCATTGAATTTTGCTGGTAATATTTTTTTGTTGATGTTCTCTGCACAGTACGCTTATCCTCAGACAACCAAGCATCACCGCTTGGTTCGGCCCAGCAGCCAGTAAACATGCCGTTTTCATTTTTGGATTCATAACACATGTCACTGGTTTATTTTGATCATCTGTTGAATCTTCATTGGTTATACCGAGAGTGCTGTGCTGACGTACTGGTTTTGTTTCAAATTTTGTTTCAAAGTGATGCACAATATCTTCTTCAGAGAATTTGATATCTTTCCAATCTATTGGTTTTTCTTTTAGATGTTTGTCAAATTGGTAAATCATTGAGCTGTCATGTTTGTTGAAATTTTCACTTAGTTTCGTTTTGATATCAGCTCCAGTTTCCTTATATAATACTTTGATATTATTTCTTAGTTTTTCAATTTCATCAGTATTTTGACCATTTTCCTGTGTAACAAGATTGAGAAGTTCTATTTCTTTGGTTTTAGTTTCTTTCTTATTGGTTGTGTTAATGTATTTGAGATTGGATTTATCGTCTTTGAATGAAAATTTGTTAACCATTTCTGATATGTCTTTTTGGAGTGCCTCAAATGAATCATAGTGTGATTGGTTCAATGTTGTTGATATTTGATTCATATCTTTCCTACACAGTACTCTTATCCTCAGACAACGATCACGCAAGTGTTTTTCGCTGGGGCTGACTTGGCATCGCGTGGTCTAGACCACAAGCCAACAAAAATAACCTTCAGACATTTGACAACACCACAACCGTTGTGTGGTTCCAATAAAACAAACGCCTAAGCTTGCAGCTTCTGATTTCGATCATGCAAACGGGATTCATTGTCACTTGTGCAAAAAAACTTTCAAAAAACGGCCAATCAGCAACTCGTGTGATCATTGTCAAAAGAAAACAATTTATGCCGATTGTCCTATATGTTTAGAGTCTGTTTTGCTCACAAATTTATACAGACATCGTTGCGAATACATTAAATCAGTGAAAATTTGTGATAATAACGCCCTGCTCACAGATCCAAACACAACTAACCCAATAACTATCATTAAGGAACAAAATGGAATCGGTGAAGTGTTCGGTAATATTACCGATAACATTAAAAACTTGGCCAAAGTTGAGGCAAACAATGCAGCTCAAAGGTATTTGGATGAATTTTTCGAACTTGGTGGAACAATGTCTCACTTGATGACGCATGAACATGTAAAAGAGAGTTTACGAGAGCATTCAAAAACTATATTTCAAGGAGGATACCGATCTGGTATAAAAGGACTGTTAAAAAAGCTTAAAAAACGAATAACAACAAGCAGTCATTTGTTAGAAGGTACGAATTTATCTGATAACCAAATAAGAACGCTTCAACGTTTACTGTTTGAGGAAAACAATGAAGAAATCGAAAAACGAAAATGCTGCAAAGCATAGCAAAGAATTTACATTCTGAAGTGCAAGCAAATAGAGAGCAATTAGTTCTCAAATTATTAGGTTTTTGTGTAAATACACTCAACAGATCTAAAAGAGAGATAGAACATTCCATATCAGATCCTAATTTATTTTATGACGTGAGCAATGGTAATATTCAGACGTACATAAATCGTAAGGATGAACTCGAACGTCATTTTAAGAACTTTGATTATTTATGGGGTAAAATCGGGAAGCAACTCTTTTCTATAATGGACATGACAGTTCATTCCACCACAATCGCTCAAAATTTAAAAGAATTACTCCGACAGAAAATAGGGGAAAGTATTTTTAACTTACCTAGCAACATTATTACTGTGGAGTTCAATGGAGAGAAGCTGAATTTTCAAATTTTCATCACCAAAATTAAGGGAGATGCTCCTTTCTTACAAAAACTGCTGGGAAATGCTCTTGTACAAGAGAGAAGTGAACAACAAAGATATTTTACGTTTTTAGATCAATACCTATAACATGTTTCATGATTTGGAAGAATTGGGGTTTAATATGAAAACGTATGATCATATCACATACAACCATGCGGGAAACTTTATTGAATCCAAAACACAACATGAGAACACAAACGAGCAAGATGAATGTTTGTTTAAACTAATTAGAAAAGTGATGCATTTGTTTTGTGGTAGACAAGTGTACTCAAAAAAAGAAATGGAAACTATTTTGGAAGCAGTTGAGGAAATTTCTAATGCACCTGATAACAGCTAAATGGCAATTAATTCCAAAACATTTTGAATTGGTTTGGATAAGAGCATTTGCAAACAGATCATTACAACAACAATTCGGTAAAAATCACCACCCCAACGATAATGCTTTCAATAGAAAATGAAAACTCCACAAATATCCAATTCTAAAAATCAAAAAGAGCTCGATGATGAACTACAGAGAGAATGCCAAATGGGATAAATTTTGTAGCAAAATAATTGGACCAATTCAAATGCTCCAAGAGAACAAAGAACTTCATGTTGTAGAAACATCCGAATATTTGGAATTTAACTTTCCTTCTAGTGACTACATTCACTCCAATAATTCAAGAGGACTTTTTTTTTTCAACAATCACTGAAAAAGATCTCAAGGATTTAGGAGTATTTCAAATTACAGAAATAAGGTTCCATGATTGTACTGCCATGATCAGCACAAGTCAAAATAGAACATCCGCATCCACAGATACATCCTATAATTTCAACGTTGATGAAATGAAGAAAATTTTAGAACATATTTCCAACTCTAATCTATCAAAACTCTTGATAAAACCATGTGGGCATTATTGAAAGGAGCCAAAGTCGGCACAAAGATTAGACCACAAACTAAAATTAAGGCAATTTTAGACTGCGTTTCAACAGATCCGAATTTGCTTGCCAAGTTGTATCAAAAATGTGGACATTTGTTGTTGCATGATGAAACCGGTTTAGCTACAAAGCCCGACAAAAAGAGAAAATCCAATCCACAGAAATCTGTTACCAAAACCAAGAAGAAATCCAAACCATCTGTTGAAGACAACAATACCACTCGAGCAATCAATCCTACGGTGATTCCTTCTATTGATTCATGCACATTTCAATTAATGATCACATCATCGATTCCAACAGAACCACATCCAACTTCTTCCATCACGAACAATCTAACCCAAGCAGAAGAAACTCAACTTTCGACGGTTTTCAGTGATTCACAACAAAGAATCAATTTGCAAAACATGAACAGTACATCATCACGACCGAATATTTCCACAAATCCGAACACAAAGACACGAAAAGGAAACAAATCAGGAAAGGCTGCCAACAAACAATTCTTTTCCCAATTCAAACCAAGCAATCAAATGGCTGATGAAACAGCTTCCAACACTACCTCCAATATCCAAATCATCACTTTGAAAATCCACCGTCAACCGTCAAGAAAGGGCCAAAAATACCACAAATAAGCCTTAAAAAAGTCAAAGAGGCGATTTCGAGAATGAAATCAAATACACCTGGCCTAGACTCAATATCCTTCCAAATTATACGTAATCTCAAAGACGAACATCTACAACTTATTGCTGACCAATTTGAAAAATGTATTCAACAAGGAAATATTCCTGAAGAATGGAAATCTGGTTGGGTTAAATTACTCCCCAAAAGAGACGTCCAAAAACTAAATGATATTAGACCCATAACTATTCTCCCAATATATTACAGAATACTTTTCAACATAATTGCATACGAATTAAGACAATGGGCTTCCAAACACATCAATCTAAGGCAACAGGCCTTTATCTCACACAGAAACACAATGAATCACGGATTATTACTTTCATCTTTAGCCAAAAAGAACAAATCGTCATTCCTATTGATAAATTTAGACATTGAAGGTGCTTACGATTCCGTTGAAAACCATATTATTGAAAAAGCTCTCACGCATTGTAAGTTTCCAGAGGAGTTGAAATCTTTCATACTAAATTCATATAAGAGCATCTCTCAAGACCATTCACAAAAACAAGAGGAATACCACAAGGACGCCCTCTAGCTCCTCTTATATATGATTATATTACTCAACTCATAATTGACAAATGCATACAACAATGGAAAATATCAATCAAACCAACCAAGCTTAATATTAACGATATTGGATTACTCTGCTTCGCTGATGACATTAATTTTATTGCAAACAGATATTGCAATTATAACGAAAGACTTGATAATATTTCAAAATGGCTCGGCCAATTAAGCCTAAACATTAATCCTTCAAAATCCATGGCAACCACTCTCCCAACTAAAAGCACAACGAAACCAATGATAGATGGTACAATTATACCAAGATTCAAAAACCTTCGAGTGCTTGGTCATTATTCTTAGGATGACTCTACTCTAAAAGAAGATATTGAAAAAAGAATCCTCCAATTTCAACTCTCACTCAAATATATTCCACTGAAAAGAATGGAGATAACAAATATTAAGAAAGTAATCTTTGCCAAATGTACTAGTTTATTTACACACATTTTACTAACAAATTATATTCCTGAAACGCTTGTTGATAGAATCAACATTGAAGTAAGAAAAGCAATAAGAAAGAAATTTTTCATGCATAATGCCAGTCCAACAAACTATTTTCACCTCCCAATCACCTATGGTGGATTAGGCATTCCAAGATTCGACATCTTTGCTGATGAAATTAGAATCAAAACAGCCCTTTATCTTATTAACAATGAGAACGAACTCCTTAGAGAAGTTTATTCAGAAGGAATTAAATATGAAAATTCGATTTTTAAGGAAATGAATAGATCAATGAAGAAATACAAGATCAAACCTCAACAATTTAACAATGATGAAAATCTTCCAAAACTCAAAGGAAAGAATTTTACTATTTACACTGATGGATCAAATCTAAACAATTCAACAGGTTTCGGCTTCACCGCCAATAAGATGCATCCTCAACGATTATCAAGAATCAAGATACTGTGATAGAAGAAAATTTTTCATCATCCACCATGACGGAGTAATGATTCGAGATACTCAAATACCCAACCTTAAAAATATTTACCAAAATTGGCCTGAAATCCAAATAATTCTCACCTTAGTAAATGTCACACCAAATACTATGAAAACTCAAGATTCAAAAAACCATTTCAAAAACAATCCCCAATCCTCACAGATTTACCAGCACCAATGGTGCTAACAATAAACTAATATTAGATTTTTTTGTTGATGTAGATTTTAATGTTTCAATGTTTGGCTCGCTTTGAAAGTTGGTAAATGATTTCGAAAATTATGTTGGTATTTGGATTTTCCTTCACCCGTGAAAGTGCACTTGACAAGTGCTGACGTTGGTCACTACCAACCAAGGGACCAAATCTTGAGGGTTCTTCTTTTTGCAAAGCATCAAAATATGAAAAGATTATCATTTCCTTTTCATCCATTGTGGAAGGAGATTCTGGTATTTCTTGGGAAACAAGTTTTCCGTTATCCCAAACCTGATTAATAGAGACCATTATATTATGAGTATCATCTCCATCCCTCATAACCAACACTCCTGTGCCATGTCTCTCATCGTTCATAAATGAGCCTGTATATTTCGACCCGTCGGGATAAGTGACTGTTCCTTTGCCTTCACACACAGAGTTACGAATGTCTCCTTCATAGTAGGAGCCATCATCAAAAGTGTGGCGCCCTTTCCCAAAAAATTGGCCATCCCTGAACTCTCCCTCCAAATAATCACCGGTTTTGGCGCTGATAAGTACAGAGCCTTTCCCGTTATAAGGCTGATGCTCCTTGAACTCTCCTTCAAATAGATATTCTTTTCCTTCATAACGGCTCTTAAGCTTTCCTCTTCCACAGAATAAACTTTTCAAAAATTGGCCTGTATAACTTCTGTCTTGTTCAGTAAATGTTCCCTTTCCTGTCATTTCATTCTCCTGAAACTCTCCTTCATAAAATGAACCATCCTGGTATATTATTTTACCAAATCCGTGTCTTTTAGAATTCACCATTTCACCTTCGAATTCCAATGTCTTGGTTTGTATCGAAAATTGTCTCATCTTGCCAGTAAATAATTTGACCTTCCATGTTCCCTCATATTCTACATGCTCGTTATCTAAAGACGTAAAATATCCGAAGCCATTCTTAATGAGCCCGTTTTCAAACTCCCCCTCACATCTATATTGCTCCAAACCGGAAAGCAAAACGCCTTGCCCATGATAAAAGCCATTTTTGAACTCCCCAGTATAAACCTGTTGAATCTGAGTGTTGACTAATGTACCCTTTCCATCGCATTTGTTGTTCTTCCAATCGCCATCATAGTATTTTACTTTGTGAGACCCATCATAGAACTCGATCAAACCTTTTCCATGCCTTTTCCCATCTAACACTTCGCCTTTATAAATGCTTCCGTCTTTGTACTTAAATTCTCCAAATCCGGTCACTTTTCCTTGTCTGACAGTTCCGGTATAAACGTCAGAGTTCAAAAATCGAAAGACTCCTTTGTCATCATCCGGAAGATCATCTTTGAAACAACCCTCATATTGGTCACCATTCACAAAAATGAGTTTTCCTTTTGAATACTTGTTGTTAAGGAATTCTCCTTCATAAACAGAGCCATTCGGTAACATCAAGAGGCCGTGACCATGTTTTTCGCCACGTTCGTTCTTTTCTCCGTTGTATACCGCCATTCCTTCTTCTGTGGTCTGTGATGCAAGCCCGAGAAAAAACTTCTTTTGCATAGAATTTGAAATTGGCTTCTGTTTTTCGGCCTGGAAAATTAATGCAAAGTCAGTAAACAGTGTCGCAACCACATTTTGAGCATCTCCTGTCCTTTTCATTTGCTCCATAAAGTCATGAGAAGGATTGTATAAAATGTTTGGTTGCCAACAAACAGATAAATTTTCACAAGTCATCCTGTTTGAAGAGCTGTACTTTGAAATAGCATTGCACAATTCGCTAATCTTTCGTAATAGCAATAAGTTGTTGGAAGGTAGCAAGCTGACAGCTTTTCTCAGCATGTCGCTCATCTCTTGATTGAAGTCTTTACACCTAGCAGTTGACATAAAAGTCTCATACAACTGAGGAACGATCAGAGGTACAGGCAACGATCTAAAGTAATGTTTCAGCACAGCAGATGCAAAAGCAATCTCATCGGTACTAGTATTTGGGTACTGAAAAGTGACAGTTCTGTATGGATCCTTTTCTGTTGCGTATCTTTGATTCATTTTGTTGATCAGATCTGCCTTTCTTGTCTCATGGGTACTCAACCGAAATATACCTTCGGTTTCTAAACCATGTTTCATCAAGTAGTCAATTGTGTCCAAAATAAATTGTGGCACCTTGGACGGATCTGACTCGTCTAAAGGGCCTCCAAACAACTTCGGTGGAGTTCCTGTTTGCGTAGATGTGGTAGATGATGAAATCAGGCCATAGTCAGCGTTGTCTATTGCACCAGCAAGAGAATGAACGTCTCCCTCTTCGCTTTTGCTGGTGAGTTTTGGTCTGAAACTGAAAACGCGCTTGAAAACTGGCATGATAGCTATTTATTTTTTTTTGAATTATTTTTTGTGAAACGTCGATTGCTGACGAACACACCTAAAAGTTCTCCTTGTGGAAAACAAACTGGACTGTAGAGTTTTTGCTCTTGTCAACAGCAAACGAATAAACTTGCTTGCTCAGCCCAGCAGGACCACACACAAACACTCCAACTTTTGGTTTCTTTCCAGATGGGCTGTTTTTTTCTACAAATCGTCTAACTTCCGAAAACTCTGCATCCCAGTTTGGTCTGCCAAAGTTTCTCTTTGTTGAGTCTACCATTTTGGTAACGTGATCAACCTTAACAACAAAATTAGCTGGGAAGAGACCTGTTTGCTTTGTGGTGGTATTTGTTCCCATCCACCAGCCAGATTCGTCTTGCTCTGTGACAACAATAATATCATTCCTATCAAGTCTCATTTCATCAGAACTTTGAGGTTCGTATTTGTGCAAAGCACGGACCATAATATCCACCTTTCCTGACTGCTGAACATTATCCTTTGTGCTAGATTGATTTTGATATTCGGATGAAGCGAACATTATTTTCTTTACGTCTTCCGCTTTTAGCATACCGGTCATGTATGTGTGAATATCAAAAAAGTCTGGGTTCTCACTTTCTAATTGATTTAGAATGTCAGAAAACCACTCCCAGCTGCCTTCATCACGGTTGATCCAATAAAAACTTGCTCTACGAATCTTTAGAGGAGGAGCTTGTCCAGAAGAAGCAGCGTCAAGACGGAATTTGAAATGTTTTAAGAGTGAGCTATATGGAGTAACACCAATTCCAGCCGCAATGAGCATCACATACTCAAAATCGAAAACATATTCTGCACAAGTTCCAAAAGGTCCATCAACTCGAATCAAATAATCACTACCATCTGGTGTAGTTGGTTTGTTGATTTCAACTGTCGGTCTTTGGGCAGGATTAAATACATCCTGATTATTCTCATCGTTATGTTTTTAACTGTTACCAGCACAACTTACCATCAATGTGTTGGTCCAGTCTCCAACACAACGAATGTGGAATTGCAAAAACTCTTCTTCTGGAGCAGAGGAGATAGTGAACGGATGCCATTCGTGTTGTGAAATCATTGGGCAATTTAGGAAGCAATACTGTCCAGATTCATATCTAAAGCTTGGCTTTTCTAATTCTAAATGAATAACACGGGAGGGCAAGCAGTGAACACGTTTCACTATTGTCATCTCCGATCCTCTCAAGTTTCTCATGATTCTCTCTAAGGCGTATAACCCCATAGGGATAAAGAACCACGCCCAAAACTGCTTTCCGTGTACAAGAAGAAGTACAAAAAACACAACAAATAAATGATGGGTGTACCAGAAAACTGTAAAATTCTTGGTCCTACGGTAAGTCTTCGCTGACGCAGCATACATGATGAACATCACCACACAAAGTACATTTCCTGTGGTACCGAATTTGTTCCACCAGCACGCTTGCAAGGGTGTGGTTGCACTGTCATATAGTTGCCAGCAGCAAGCATAGTTCAAATAATGACCTAATGTATGACCTATCACGCACACAACAATCCTAAAACAAATGAATGATTATGGTGAAAATTAGAGCGGCAACCTACCAATATGCTAGATAACGATGGAACACGAGATTCTTGTCAAGAGGAAATATTGATCCAAACTTCAAACTTCTGAATACGTTCAGAAGTGTTCTCATGGTGGGCAAGATCAACAAAGCGCAATTGAAATTCAATAACTGTCCAAACCCTCTTGCCAGAGCGACAAAGAATGGTACTTTTTGTACTCCTGTTGGTACAGTGATGGATGAGATGTAATAAAAGTAACGAATAAAAGCCTCTGTGAAAAGAAAGATGTTGATGAAAAACCAAATAGAGACCACAATCAACTTTTGGCCTTCAGCAGCCCAGTAATTCAAAAACTCATGTTTGTTGGTGAGACGTTTCTTCCATTTCTGAACAAATTTACGGAGTGACGAGAGTGATCCGGATGAGAAGCCATTAGAGCAACACCCATAAAGAAAAAAGTCTGACAAATTGCTAAGCGCGCCCATAATGTTGGTTACGTGCTTTTTTTTTGATGGATGTCAACCATCAGATATCATTCATCAAACAAAATGAACAAATCAGGACTGCATTTTTTTCTACGAAGATATATGTTACTTTTCTTTCTCTCCCAATCTCCGAACCAAACAATAATAATAATAAAATTATTGAAATTAAAAATCTAAAGAATTTTTTAATAGAGATCATTAACTCATCAGTCCCGTAGAAGTAAAATTACCTGGGAACTGTGATGATCGAATATCAAGCTCATTTGTGATGATTACGTGTCGTTTTGGGTGTATTCGAATACGAAAAGACATGGAAAAGTAACATGATCTTCTCGAATGGATTACTTAATAATGGTTATCGTCATGGAGATAATATTGAAACTTATTACCAATGGTAATCGAACACACCTTGAAAAAAATTATTGAGGTACATGTAAAAAGAATCCTGCTGGGATTCAAATTGAGGACACAAAAGTGTCGTCAACCTGCATTCTTGTCATTATAGTAGAGTTTGTAGCATTTGACAACGAAGAGAGTGACGGGAACTTGGGGCTATTGGGAAGATAACTCTTTGTGACAATATTCATGTCATCTGCAAAATTGAGTAATCCTCTATCGTTTACATTGATTCCAATTGTCGATTGCCTTATCAATAATTAATTGTACGAGACATCTGTCGTACATTAAAGGGGCAAGGGGCAGCCTTGTGGGATTCCTCTTATAATAGAAAGAGTGTCGATGGAGGTCATTAATTTCAAGGTGGAGGAATAAAAGAGTATTTGCACCCCAAAGGTAGGGCGTAGAGAAGTAAACCATGGGGGAAAAGTGTTCCTGAATAGTTCCTTTAGATCTTTTTGTATTTTGATAAATTAGTGGATTTTGCCCTCATAAACGGTTTTGATGGATGGTTTTTCAATAATGAATCTCCTCTCAAGAAGGGTAGAGAGACATGTGAAAGAATGATCAAACTTTTGAAATATTTAACCAGGGGATGTCATCGAAGAATTGAAAGTTACTAATTAATGATTTGGTTTGACTCAGTTCTCCAACCAACGGAGAATTGAAATGGCAAAATGAGTTCAATGAGAAGAATATTGAATTTTTTACCTTGAAATTGTTGATGTTGGGTGATTTGGAGGCTCTTGATCAAGAACTTGATTCCAATTTTACACTCTTTGAGTATTCCGTCTTATTTGGAGGTTCTTGGTTGGGACATTTTTTGCGCTTCACCACCATGAAAAAAAATGGACACATCTGTTAAGGTAAGCCTTATGTCGAGCTTTATTTCAAACAGGTCTTGCCAGGTGGTTGTAGTCGGAGATGGAGCAGTTGGTAAAACATGTAAGTGCTTGTTTCGAGTTCTTTCCTCTCACATTTGTTAGGTATGCTTTACTGTTACGCAAATAATCAATTTCCGGAAGGTATGATGAACTCCAATGCTTTTTATTTTAACAAAATTAATAATATGATATTGGAAAATTGAACTAGATTATGTTCCAACGGTTTTTGACAATTACAACGCCAATACATTATATGGAAACCAATCTGTGAGCCTTGGATTGTGGGTATGTACTTTAGTTAATCACAGAAATGTACAGAAGATTCTCTCACATTTGAAGGACACGGTAAGTCGAACTGTCAGTTGTTCTTCGCTAATTATCATCAGGCAGGTCAAGAAGATTATGACTCTTTGTAAGTACTAAAAGAGACTTGTGTACGTTCTTAAAAAGAATTATTAGACGCCCCTTAAGTTATTCCGAAACTGATGTGTTTCTTGCATGCTTTTCAGTCACTTCGAAAATAAGTCTTAATAATGTGAAACAAAAATGGTTGCCTGAGATTAAGCAGCATATGCAAAAAAACACTCCGATTCTTCTTGTTGGATTAAAGAAAGATTTAAGAAACGATCATAAAACGATAAAGGAAGCTCAAGAATTTGGTGATGCAATTGTTTCTGAAAAAGAAGGAATGGAAGCAAGCAAAGCGATGAATTGCGTGACCTATTGTGAATGCAGTGCTAAAACGAGGGAAGGTTTGGAGGAGGTTTTTCTGAATGCAATTGCAGCTGTGTTGGATCCTCAACAATTCATACATATGAGCGAAAAACAACCAAAGAAAACCCCAAAAAAGAAAGGTTGTTCACTCCTATAAATTGTTGATAGAAATGTTGTTTAATTGTTGTACAGTTTGGCACCTCTGTCGTAACCCAGCAGCAAAAACATGTTCATGTTTTGAACCAACAGCTTTCCTTCGTCAATTGATTCAATTTTTCTCAAAAAAGAGACACCTAAAAGTCTCATCAATTCAGATGAATGCAAAGTACACAATGCAATAGGATGAATACCTCCTTCATTTTCAGGGAAAAACGTCAAAAACTCCAATATTTCCTCTCTAGAATTTATGTGCTTGATGAACAATTGAAACATGGTAATAAGCTCTTCTTCATTCAAAATATTTGACCGCAACTTCTGAACACAGCTTTTCAAATCAATTATTTCTGGTGAAATGTAAATTTGTCTCTTTCCTGATCTGTATTTCTTTTTGTTATGTTTAAATGATGATGTGGCTCTCCAAGCTAATGCTTTTTTGATGTTATCTGAAATCGATTCATGGGCCGATGAGGTTCCATAATAGATTTGTTGTTGATACAGAATTTGCTTTTCTTGATCGAATGCCAAATCAATTATTTCTTTTGAGTAATAATAAAATTTTGATCTAATTAAATCTTCTAATATTTCAAAACCGCTTGACTTTGGAGTTTTGAATTGAATTAATTCTATTAAATCCTTAATAAAATATAAATCGTCTTGTGTTAAATAACAAATATCGTCAAATGTTTTTGGTCTGGTAACTCCTACTGTATGTCCAATCGAGTCAATAATGTCGAGAGTATCTGTTAACACTGAATCAAAAAGAGATTTTTCTTGGGGAGATGGTTCTGTTGAATGTTTTGCATCCATGATGTTGGTTTTCGATGTTCTTTGTTTTTTCTTCTCTTTTTTTTCTTTTTT